GTGCAGGGCGCGGCGTTGCTGGTTGGGAACTGGGTGGGATGGCACGATATCACATGCTTGATATTTGACTAAGGGAACAATGCCTCCATGCCGGACGTCTCTACCAAGTACAAATTCATTGCTAAGGACAACACCAGTGTGACCACTGACCACAGGCCAGCCAAGTACACAGGTATTCATGAACATCTTTGCATTCTCCTTCATACATCCCTACCATCACCATAGCGGTCCTCAACTACCATCCGTCTTAAGCTTTCAACCCACCCCATCTGTCAACAACCCCTGCTGCTAACTGTTGGCTGCCTGCCAGTCATCGCCAGTCACAAATTATTTGTCCCAGACTATCAACAGTTTCAACAACCTCCGGCGGCCTCGACAGCCTCCGACCATCATCGGTCATCTGCCACTATTCGTCGCCACTTTGAGCCGCCGCCGGTCATCGCGCGTAGTTCGCCACCCAGCTGAGCCGTACCTGATGAGCTGCTCGGCGCCGGTGGCGGCGGCCACAATCTGCCCTGCCACCTGGCGGGAGGAGGCGGTGGCGCCACCGTGGCGGCGCAGCGCGGCGTTCTCGCGGCGCAGCGCGCGCACCTCCTCCTGCAGGCGGCCGGCGTCGGCCGACGCGCCTGTAGTCACACCCGGCCGTAGCTGCTGCTGCTGCTGCAGGCTGCTCGACCTGTCCGACGGCCGGGGGGAGGGGGGGGGGAGGGGTCAGAGGAGAGACGCGAACGGACGATAGTGCTGCCGACGGGCCCGCAACGCTCAGAGGACGCTGGAACGCAGGCCGCCGGTGCTCCAGACGGACAAGTCCGTCAGCGACGCACGGAATGTGTTTGGCGAGCATGGTACATAGTTCAGGATGCAGGTGTTGACATTATGACCCTCGGGACGATGCCGCTGGTCAATAGATATCACCCTTAACTTCCAAGGCCAAATGTTCGACAAGGAATACAGAAATCAGACACGTTTGGTCTGCCGATCATTAATGCACGGACAAACCTTCTTCTCTCATACTGCAGCTGCTGTTGCAGGCGGTCGATGTCTCTCCGCAGGCAAGCGTTCTCCCGCTCCAGCTGTGGCACAAACGCGTTGTCAGGCATGCTACTTCGCTGAACACAGCTGGTCCAGCAGCTGACGAAACCTGGCACGAGCGCCCTTCGTACACAGGAGACATTCCAGCATGCCGAACAGCGATAAGCAAATTTCAAACATAAACACGTCTCTTGCCCGACCACTGAACAGACAAACATCGCCAGGGGCACGAGAGGGCGCCGTGCTGGCCGCTAGCCGACACCGCCCCGACTGACCCGCTGCAGCCGCTGCGGGCTGGTCGGCTCGTGCGGCCGCGACGGCCCATGCGGCGGCGCGCCGTTGGTCTCGCCGTCGCCGTGCAGCGTGCCCATCGGCCCGTCCGACAGGAAGTCCGGCAGGCCCTGCGGCTGGGCAGCGCCGAGCGGCGGCGCGGCGGCGCCGGCCGCGCACGACAGCGATGTCGGCACCTGCGGAGGCGGCGGGTCATGTCAGGGGTCGGGCGCTGGCCGGCCGGCACTTGCTGCGGCGGCGGGTCATGTCAGGGGACAGGCACCAGCCGGTTGGCACCTGCAGAGGTGGCAGGTCATGCCAGGGGTCGGGCGCCGGCCGGCTGCCCCTGCAGAGATGGCAGGTCATGTCAGAGGTCGGGCGCCGACCGGCCAGCAACAGTCGCATACACCCGACCGAACGACCCACTGATAGCAGGCATTAACACATTAAAGCCATTGAAGAACAGATGGTGTTGCACCTACTTACAACCTGGCAGACTTCTGCATTATGGTAGTGGAAGGTTTGTGCTCCCACCAACTAAGGCTAGTGAGCGGGAGTGGGCAAGCGACCAGGAAAATCACGCATGTCTGCCAGCGGCTTGCCCTTAACAAACAACACTGTTCTGTAGCATTGACCCCATGCTCGGACCGGTGCTGGCGTAAAGCCGCCCCCTGGCCGCGCCTGGGGTCTGTGGTCGCACCTTGCGCCGCGTGCCGGTAGCGGCGGCGGGCGGCTGCCGCGGGGGGGGCCGCTGGCGCTCGCGGCCGTCGAGCGAGGCCGCCGCCGACGCCAGGTGGTCCTGTACGAAGTCGGGCAGGCCGGCGGCCACGTCCGGTCTGCCCTGGCCCCACGTGCCAGGCGGGCCGCCGCCGCCGCCGCCGCCGACCGGCTCCAGGAACCGGCGGAACGAGAGCGGCGCCTCGCCGCCGCCGATGGCGCCGGCCGACTTGGGGGTTGCGCCACCATCACCTGCTGGGTGGAGAAAGGTGTGGTGTGTTGAACCAGGTGCCAGTGGTGAGTTGGGTGAAAGCTGTTTGTTTTTGATGTTGGTGAAAACGAGTAGGGGAAGAAGCCCCATAGCATTGCTGAGTGAGAGGGAATACAGAAATTTTCAGAAGTATTACAGTCAGCAGTCAGGATCTATGACAATATAGTTCACTGAGAGCCTGTACAGTGGCCCAAGCTGCAGAGAACAAAGTTATCCACATCTGAAGATGCTATATGTTTTTAAAGGCAAGTTTTACTGTTTAAATCACTATAGAGTACACAAACTTCTATCCAAAACATGTTTTCCATAAGCTTTAAGTGATGAAGAACAACAGCTTCGAAAATGAATGAGGGCATTTGAGTGTGCATGATATGAAATGCTCTTTTTTAACACATAATCAATAACCAGGTGGATTAAGTTGAGCCATGCACCAGCCATATTTGCTGCCAATGACATAGCCTGTATATTAATTGAATGAACAACCATACCTGCCTGACCATGGTTCACAGTTTCATCATTGGGCAACCCTAAATCAGGAACAAATGGGGACTGCTCATTGTGCTTGTCTCCTTCCTGATGATCATCTCCATTTTCCATTTCTGAAATAAGGTCACAGATATTCTCACAACATGATCAGTTGCCATACATGTGGGTGTGATGTACATAATCTGCAGGACTTTTATATTCAATGTGCATCATTTATAAATTTCTGAATTTGTTGCTGGCAGCACCATATGAAAAGAAAAAGATCACCCTTACCTCTCTTTCATGTCAGAGAACACATCATTGTAGAAAAAATATATATAATAAAAAAGATTTGCATTGAAAAATCATATAAACTAGCATCTATCACTGCAGCTGGGATTTCAGTGGAACATTAAGTCTCAAGTAAATCTGTGGCCCACTTTGCTTAAAACACAAAACAATTATAGCCTTGAGATCAAGACATTTGTCATGCTTATTCAGGCTTTTCACACTTATTGGAGGAGCATGGATGCAGTCCAAGACATGCAACCATGTACAAGGTGAACCACAGAAGACATCATATCAACTAGGTGATGTAATACAAATGAACAAAGATAAAATATGCAGCAAGGAGCATAAAGTGGAGTCATCTCACACATGTTCAAGGTAAAGGAGCTATCAGGCCCCATCTGTCTACCTGTAATTGCAGACTCGGGTAGTAAATGTCAGCTCCCCGCGTGTCCCTCGAGTGCAACGGGGACTTCGTAATATTGTACCAATGCAAATATGATGTTCCTCAAAAAGCTGTAAAGATTTGTAAGTACTAATTAACTGAGTCCAACACCAGCCTAAGCAATATAAAATGAGCACGACTGACGAACCCGACACAACTGACTGATAGCTGGCGACTTTGTTGACACCCAGCAGATCAACACGCATAACCATAGCAGGCATCAAGGCGTATCTGCGTATTTGACGCATGGATGCGCCGTGATGCAGAGCTTGCTTGTACCCGTCAGCTGTCTGTATTACATGACGTCAGCGGAGCCATCACCGACAAAACATTTCGAATTTTACGATGCATTTTGCACCTCTACTTATTAGAGAAGGAGGGCACAATTTAATACACAATTGTAGAACTTTTCACCTTCACGTTAAATTGGTAAAGCGCGCCTATTTGATTTTGGTAAAAGTTTATTTTTTGAAGGGAGAGGAATGGTAGCTAATTGAGGCCCTCAAATAGCAGCGGGATCTAGTGATACAGACAAGATAAGGATTGAGAGACTCGCTTGCAATATGTAACACTTATTTTCGCATTTTGTCAGCAGTCAACTACGGTGAAAAATTAAAAATGCGGGCCTGAAGTTCCCCCCCCTTCCTTGCTGCGCTTGTGGTTGGAGTCCATCTAAGCACCCCGCATTGGTTGAGGGGCTGGCTGTTTCGGGACCTGTCACCCCATCAGTGTCCCTAATCCAGGTCATATTGAGGCAGTCCAACATTATTGGTCCCTTGTATCGCTCTCGCGAAAGCCCACCTAACCTTTTGACTCAGAAATGTGTGCCCATTCGCGACACATTAAGCGTTATTTTGACGATCAGCATACATGATCTGAGCGCGGCTGGCGCTAGGGGTGCAGTGTGAGAACGTCTTGCACATGAGCTGATGAGTAGATCTGCGTTTAGGATATGCAGATAGGATTCACAGATATGCCATGTAGCAACTCCCGCCTTCCTATCTGTTTATCTGCAGACAAAATAGCACGAGTAGGTGCTGATCACCAGCCATACAACTGAACTTTACTTATAATGCTGCTCATGTTTCTCCCCCAGAACCGCCAACATGCGTATCTGTGTGCAACATCGCCATCCCTTGATCCACGGTGAACTCGGTGCAACTAAGCTCAATGTGCAACTGACAGTTGGAGTATCATCCTGTCACGTCACACAATAACTGCCTTTAATAGCACCACTCCTGCTTGTTTGTTCCCAAGTGCCACCTCCACCAGAGGTGTAACCATTCTACCGTCACAGGCGTCAAACACCAACCTTGCTGTGTTTATTTGCAGATATACAAAACTACAGTGGGACTCGCATGACCACTCAAAGTAAGGGAAACATGTCCGGCAGGCAGCCTGGCATATATACGTCTCAAAACCACATAAAACTGATTAGGTGATCGCAGTGCCCCGTCTCTGCCAACCTCACACAACCATGCAGCCTCGCAGACAAAACAGCCGATTTGAGGTTCACAGCTCTGCAGTGTGCGACTGGCAGAATGCCAGCACGCGCCGGCGAGTGCCGGTCGCGACCCCCTGCCCCCCTCCCTCACCCACGCACTACCGGCGTCTCTGGTACGGGCGCCGTCGACCCGACCTGCGCGTCACCCGTCTGTCTTTGAGCCGCTGGCCGGTGCTGCCACCCCCGCGGCGCGGCGCGGCACTACTCGGGCCCGGCGCCGGTCGGCTGAGGGGGCGGCGGCCGCAGCGCCGCCGCCGCCGCCCCCTTCTGACCCAGCGCTACGCACGAGCGAGCCACGCTGTCAAACAGCTTTTCGATCTCGGGCGCGCAGTGCACGAACTCGTGCTTCCAGAACTTGAACGCTGGGTTCTTGATGAGTTCGATGAAGGTGATGAGCAGGCCCCACGGGTGCGGCCGGTTGACGATCAGCCGCTCGAGCAGAACCCTGCCGCACGGGGGGGGGGAGGGGGGTCGGGTTACGTCGCCCGGCCTGCTCGCCACGCCCACAGCCCGAAGAGTGCCACTGAAGGCAGCCACTAGATCAGCAGGAGGGAACCGAACACGGCCATCCACTGCACCCCATTACGCTTATCATTCATCACTTTGTCACTGCGCCCAAACCCAGCCGCTGCACATTGCATTGCGTCGGAAGAGCGGTAGTGCGGTAGTGACGAATTCAAACGATGGCTGCAGCCTGCTCGCCACGTACCTGGTGATCTGTTCCTGGATGGCCGCCGTGTTCGCCTCCGCGAACAAATACAGCAGCAGGTTGAGGAAGTAGTTGGTGTGACTGTTCGGGTACCGCAGTTGGTTGGCAATGGCGTTCAAGAACAGGTACCGGCCTGCGGGCGCACAATCCGACCATGCTCAACGTTACGAAACTCGACGTTCAACAAAACGCCACGCTCAACGTCGCGAACACCTCAACAGATTCAAGTCCCAGGTATGTTGGTAGGTTTTCCACATGGCTGTCAAAACCCTTCATTGGCATCATCTCCTCTGCTCCAGCACCCAGCTCTGCATGACACCACTTCGACGTTCCACGTCCTCGGCGAGACCCCGACACCCGCTCCTCCAGCACCCCCGCTCTGCATGACACCACCTCGACGTCCACGTCCCTCGGCGAGACCCCGACACCCGCTCCTCCAGCACCCCGCTCTGCATGACACCACCATCGACGTTCACGTCCTCGGCGAGACCGCGACAACCCGCTCCTCCAGCACCCGCGCTCTGCATGACGCCACCTCGACGTCCACGTCCTCGGCGAGACCCCGACACCCTTCAAGGTTCACCCCTGCGCCGGCCCTGAACCTACCCTCATATCCAGGTCGACAGCCGGTTCTGGAAGATATCCATGTGCGAGCTGTGCGCGATTGTTTGCTTGCTCGGCTGCAGCCCCTTGCTCTGGATGGCGGCGATCGCCTGCGTGCCCACGTACAGCACCAGCGCGTTGATCAGCTGCACGTTTGTACCGGCTGCCGGGCTGGGCGCCAGTCTGCAGCGTCGAGCGCAGGTCCGTGACGACGTCACCCGGCGTGCGCGCCTTCAGGTACGTGTCCAGCTCCTGCGCCGCCGACGGGAGTCGGTTAGCTGGGCGAGCTCACGGCCGCAGGCCCGGACGGCGGCGAGCTCACGGCCGCAGGCCCAGCGGCTCACGGCCGCAGGCCAGGACGGCGGCGAGCTCACGGCCGCAGGCCCAGCGAGCTCACGGCTGCAGACCCAGCGGGCTCACGGCCGCAGGCCAGGACGGCGGCGAGCTCACGGCCGCAGCCCCGGCGCGCTCACGGCCGCAGACCCGGAGGGCGCGCCGGACAAGGGTGGCGCGAGCGGCGGCATGCGTAGTCAACGTCCTGCCCTAGCGACTGACTGGATATGGATGAGAAGTTAAGTCATTATCTCAATATTAATGACCAAGTCATGCAAAACTGGCATTGACAGTATGCGGTTGACGAGGTGCCGGTGGCAATAGCGTACCCACGTTCCTTCGTTAGATAGAAATAGAATGTTACTAGCGAAACTACCTGTTGGACAAAGTTCGGGGGCATGAGTCAAAGTCGCGCCCGTATACAGCCAGCGTCGAGGCACCGGGTGCCCGCAATGATGTATAAAAAACTGGCCATTGTGCACTTTTACTCGTGCGTTGATTGAACTGAAAGTCCTTTGAAACAGACTTCAATGAGTGCTAGCATCTAGTTCAGTAACTTAGAAGAATCTAGAGAATTTAAAGCACAAATAGTCGCCAAAAACTATCCTATTCAAATAGACAACCTGCCGCCATTTAACAGAACTTAACGACAACTCAGTCACTTTAAACTTCCTCTCGCCAGAAGCGGCCCTCGGGCGAACCCGGCAGCCGAGCGGCAGCCGGTCGTCGCTCACATTTTTGAAGCTGGGCGGCTGGATGAGCGAGGCGAAGTTGGTCTGGATCATGGGCGCCTCGCGGATCTCGGGGATCATGTCCACCTGCAGCTTGCTGGTGAACGGGTCCGGCGGCGGCATGTTCCGTGGGAAGGCCGACAGCACCAGGTTGCGCATCTGCGGCAGCGGCCGACGCCAGTCAGCACCTCATGCGGGGACTCGGGTGAAGACGTGGGCTCAGCGCGAGCCAGCACACCACGGCGGGAATTTCATCCCATGCCACGCCAAATGTCCCAGCCAGCTACTCACAATCGTGGCGACGACAGCAATTTTCGGTGTCGGGGAGCGGGGGGGGGGGGGCTGGAGCGAGGGGGCGGGCGGAGAATGCCGATGCTATTCGGTGCTGTTAGTTCCTCCCCTAAATGAGCGCTGGGCACAATACCTTTTGAAGCATTTCACGCTCCGAAAGGTCATAGTAAGCACACAGAACCCACGATTACTTCATGAGCTGAATCCGGAAACTTTGCACCGTCACACAGGTGACACCATCCACAGGTTTCAAGTCGCACTAGCCCAGCATAATTCGGAATTTCCATGAGCGCACTCGTTACCCACATACAAACCCATGGCCTCTCAATTACCAACCTCGCAGACCACGTGCCCGGGGTCCCACGTCCGGTCCGCTGGACCTGACCTGCGTTCACTGGGCCCCACGCCCGGTCCGCCGGACCTGACCTGGATGCAGTTTGGCGGGATGACGTCGCAGAAGTTGTAGTGGTAGTCGCACAGGAATTCTGGGAAGTCGTGCAGCAGCACCAGCAGCACGCGCAGGCAGCCCTTGTACAGGATGGTGACGGGCTTGGCCAGCTCAGCGTTGCGCAGGAACGGCGACAGGAAGTTGAAGAGGTCGATCAGCAGCTGCGCGTACGGGCCCCAGCCCTGCCGATGAGGCGACGCCGGTGAGCAGGCTGGCAAACTCCATCACACAAGGCCACCTGTGTGCTGGCAGCCCTTCATGCTCTTAAATGCATGTTGCAACACGGACAAAAGGGTACAATACGTAACTACGAATCTGGACGCCACTGAAAAGGTGAAAAAGAAATGTGACGCTTGATTCCATTTAAGTATTTCACTACGCGTTACGTTGACATAAATGTCGGAAAAAAACGCAAGAAAAAACAAACGTGCCACAGAAAATTAGGATCCAATCTTTCCAGCTCGTTGACCATTCAACCGCACATTTTCTTAAGACTCTCATCTACCGTCCATCGAACTGAACCTTGAAAAACTACGACTTCACGAGCAAGGCCAGCCACCAACCGCCACCGTGTCGGCCGGGTACCAGCGCGGGACGCTGCAACCGAACCCAACGCCAGCGAGCGAGCGAGCGAGCGAGCGAGCGAGCGCGCGCGCGTGCATGCGTGTCGCCCGCGCCGCCGCGCCGCCAGCGCGCGCGCCTCCGGTCACCTTATGCTGCAGAGTGACTGCCCCAGTCACCTTGTGCTGGGGCGTGACTGCCAGCATGCGGCCGATGAACACGCGGTGAGAGACGATGTCGAGCCAGGCGTACGCAAAGCCGGGCGCCTTCTCCGGCCGCAGGATATGCAGCACGTTACAGAAGGCCGTCAGCACCTGCGGCGGCGGCGACGGCAGGCGTCAGCATCGGCAGCTGCACCGGCGGCAGCGGCCGAGGCCACGGTGTCGCGCGCGCGCGCGCGCACGTGTGTGTGTGTGTGTGTGTGTGTGTGCGTGTGTGTGTGTGTGTGTGGTGTGTGTGTGTGTGTGTGTGTGTGTGTGTGTGTGTGTGTGTGTGTGTGTGTGTGCGTGCGTGCGTGCGTGCGTGCGTGCGTGCGTGCGTGCGTGCGTGCGTGCGTGCGTGCGTGCGTGCGTGCGTATATGCATGCATGCGTGCATGCATGCGTGCGTGCGTGTGTGTATGCGTGCGTGTATGCGTGCGTGCGTGCGTATGTGTGTTGGTGACGTATGACGGTAAGATGGGTATGGTGACCGGTCGGTTTGTCGTGAGGTGATTCTCGCACCGCCTCGTCACACTTGTCAACTGTTGCATAGCGCACAGTGGACACGGGGAGTCAAATGACTTGTTGCGGCTGCAGATATCTGACATGGCCTATTCCAGGCCCCATCCACTTGTCACATTCGTTACAAGCCATTCCAGGTTGGACATTATCACTATCAGCGCCGTAACTTCTACCACGCATGATGCCGTTGTTTTTTGTCATTTGAATGGTTTTCTCCCTCACTTTAAGTTCTCTGTAAGTAACGACTGAAATTTCATAGTTCACGCAGAACGGTTAAGACAAGTAATCTATACACCATATTGACAAGAAATTCGTGCACCATATGTTCAGATTGTCCACAGGACTAAGGTAACGGAGACGGAGACGGAGACGGAGACGGAGACGGAGACGGAGACGGAGACGGAGACGGAGACGGAGACGGAGACGGAGACGGAGACGGAGACGGAGACGGAGACGGAGACGGAGACGGAGACGGAGACGGAGACGGAGACGGAGACGGAGACGGAGACGGAGACGGAGACGGAGACGGAGACGGAGACGGAGACGGAGACGGAGACGGAGACGGAGACGGAGACGGAGACGGAGACGGAGACGGAGACGGAGACGGAGACGGAGACGGAGACGGAGACGGAGACGGAGACGGAGACGGAGACGGAGACGGAGACGGAGACGGAGACGGAGACGGAGACGGAGACGGAGACGGAGACGGAGACGGAGACGGAGACGGAGACGGAGACGAGAGACGGAGAGAGAGAGAGAGAGAGAGAGAGAGAGAGAGAGAGAGAGAGAGAGAGAGAGAGAGAGAGAGAGAGAGAGAGAGAGAGAGAGAGAGAGAGAGAGAGAGAGAGAGAGAGAGAGAGAGAGAGAGAGAGAGAGAGAGAGAGAGGGAGAGAGAGACGCTTGACACCTAGCGGCGGCCTCCGACCTGGAAGTTGATAGCCTCCAGGACTGTCTCTGGCGCGTTCAACTCAAGCAGCAGCATGATGAAGATGCGGTGGTAGGGCAGCTGCTGGAATTCCGTTTTGCGCACCTCGTGGTCCTGCAGCAGCACGCCCGTCACGATGCCCAGCACCTGCCGAGGGCGGGGGCGCCGTTAGCTGGCCGCCGGCACCAGCGCCGGCACAGGTGAGCGCAGGGTCACGCTCGAGTGACGCTCGGCCGGGCCGGGCCTCAACGGACTGCGTCGGTCACGGTCCGCTCCGGCTGGTCAGACCAGCGGGGCCGTGGGTCCACCGTCACGGTCAAGCTGCATCCGCAGCTCACGCAGCCGCATGCTCCCGCTCAGACGACAGGCCCTGTCACGGACCCAGACCACACCACACCACACCACACCAAATCATGCCATGCCACACCATACCATAACTACACCACACCACATCATGCCACGCCACACTATACCATAACCACACGCCACGCCACACCACACCCGCACACGCACGCACGCACGCACGCACGCACGCACGCACGCACGCACCCACACACACCCACACACCCACCCCACCCACACCCACACACACACACACATACACTACACATACACATACACATACACACACACACCCCACCACACCACACCACACCACACAATAATTACATCAATCACATCACATCACATCACATCACACCACACCACACCACACCACACCACACCACACCACACCTCACCACACCACACCACACCACACACCACACACCCATCGTAATCGTCATCGTCACCATCATCGTCATCGTCATCGCCACCGTCACCGCCCACGTGCCGACACCTCCTGGGCCGCCCGCTTTCGCCGCCAGCGCACCTTGTTGAGCAGGTTGATCTTTGAGACGGCGTGCGGCGACTCGCCGCTGTGCTTGACCAGCAGCGCGATCAGGCGCACGAACGCGTCCAGCGTGCGGAAGCACTTGGAGCGCACCATGGCCGGCGAGCCCACCGCAGAGTCCGTCAGCGCACGGTAGCTCAGGTCCACACACATCTGGGTCGACAGCCGGAAGAAGCGCGTGATCAGGTCGTCAGTCTTCAAGATGCCCTGCACGTTCATCTGAAACCGAGCGACGACCGCGCGTCAGCCGTGTGGCGGGCCGCGTGGGCCGTTCACGGCGACTGGGCGATGCGGCGCTCCTCAGGCGGCGAGGTCACGGAGCGGCGCGCCACGTCTGCAGCCGGCGTCCGCTCACCTGGTGCACGATGATGGTGAACGCCTTGGTGGAGTCGCGGCCGGAGCTGGGCATGTGGTACAGCTGCACCCACTCCCTCAGCAGGTACTCGGTCTTCTGCTGCATGTCGGGCGGGTCGTCGAACTCGCGCGCCTGCGAGATGCCCTTGTGGATGTGGGCGGTGGGGCCGCTCGGGCTGCGGTCGGCCGGGAACGGCGGCTCGCGGCCCGCGCCGCCGGCCCGCACCTGCTCCAGCAACAGCGGGATGTTCTCCGGACAGCTGCCGGCCGGAGGAGACCACGTCAGGCGGCGGCGGCGGCGGCGGCGGCGGCGGCAGCGCCCACAGCTTACAGAGGTCGTCTCCGTCCTGCGCGCCACGTCATGGAGCGACAATGAGGCGGGTCCGCCCGGGACCGAGGCCGTCTGCATCTGTCTGGTCTGGACCGGTGTCCAGCGCGGCCGGACCGGCTGTCCGGAGGGCCCGGTCCGCCCGGGACGCCGCACTCACCCGGGCTGCTGGGCCAGCTTCGCCAGCGCGTCCAGCGTGTTCATGAAGTCGTTCTCCGTGACTGCGTTGCTGCGGTCGTCCACCAGGAACGCCTGCATGGCGGTATGAGGGTTGACAACCGATAAGAAGGGACAGATGAGGTTCTGTAGTGTGCCGCCACACCTGATCTGCAGCCAGCTCTTGTCACTGCAGCCCACAAGAGAGGCTACAGTCCACACTAGCAGAGGTGGTAATGAGACTGTACATGATACATATATATATATATATATATATATATATATATATATATATATATATATATATATATATATATGTACATAGTACATATATGAGACAGGCATAGGACAGTAGGAACGGGCAGACGCCAGACGGCTTATACATTACGTGCTAATCGACTAGAACACACGAGACCAGTGAGGTCCTCTGACCACGCCCGCACCGCCATCCACACCGACCTCACAGCGCCATCTTCAGCTCGCCAAGCCCAAGCCCGGCCCACCTGAAGCAGCTGAAGACTGAGGCCCATCAGGCTGTAATTGCCGGCCTCCATGGCGTGCGCCAGGTGGGCATCGAGCTGCTGCGTGGAGACGAGCCGGGCGCGGATGAGCGCGTCCACCGCCTCCAGGTTCAGCCGCTGGTCCTCCCGACACTCTATCACCAGGCTGCCGGCGGGCCGCCGCGGCGTCAGAGACTGACCCTCGCCGGCCAGCGATCGGACGGGAGGGGACGTCACAACAGTCACGGAGGAGCCGGCACCGCCCTGATGGGATCGGTCGGCAGGCGGGGACGCCGGTGCCGTCACTGAAAGCCCGCCTACCAGGACCCGGTCATTAGACCGCGGCCGTCCAAGCACGGCCGGGGGACGCATCCCTATTACAAAGCTATCGCCATCACATGGCTGATGTCAATCAGCTCCACTCACCAGTCCTGCACCCGCAACGACCATTCAATCGAACCCAGCGCCGACCCCACCGACGCGTCACCGTCATTTCCAGCTCCCCAAACATCAACACCTGCCCGTATCGTCACCGTCCGGCGCCCCGCCCCCGCCACTGCCGCCGCCGGCCACAGCAGCCGCCGCCGTCTCACCTAGTGACGTGCTTCTGAACCCAATGCGGTCCGTGCGCGCGCGGATCCTGCAGCGCTCGCAGCACCATCAGGTGGCCGTCGCGACAGCGCACGGCCAGGTCCGGGTCAGCCGGCAGCTGCGACATGTACTCCAGCAGGCCGTCCACCGCCTGCGGACGGCGAGGCGCACAGTCAGCCGCCGACCTCGGGCAGCCAGAGGCCGCCGCTGCAGCCCCCCATCGGCCTCAGGTGCCGCACAGGCCGCCACTGCAGCCCCTACCCCTCCCCCCACCGGCCTCCGCGTGACCGCAGAGGCCGCCACTGCAGTCCCCGACCGGTTCTGGGTGTGGCCGGTTTGTAGCCGAGCAACGCACACATGTGAGCTTGTATCGCATCAAATAGGGGCGGAATGTACGGGCAAAACGAGAAAAATCAGATCGCAGCAGCACCGCGGCTCAGTCCCTCCCGCCTGACCGGGCCACGGACGGCTCCTCATATGACAGGCCGCCGGCGCAGTACGCACCATCTTGACGAGGTGGACGTGGGCGTTGGGGTCACGTGCCGCCGCGCTCAGCGAAACGTCCTTGGCAAGGCGGGCGAGCGCCTGCGCCTGGGGCGCGGCCGCCGCCGCCGGGTGCAGGCTGTGCACGGCCGCCTGCAGCTCCAGCGACAGCTTCTCCAGCAGGGCCGGTAGCTCGTCGCTGGCGGCGGACGGCAGCGGCAGCGGCGGCGGCGGCGGCGGCTGAGAGGCGCGCAGCGGTGGTGGACCCTGCCAGGCGCGCGCAGAGCGACGGTCAGCGAGGCGCGCGCTCGGTCGGCGCGGGTGTGTCCGGGGTCGCGCCTGGCGTCCCGTGGCGACCAATGGGCCAAAGTAGGCTTCCTCGCTACTCTTCTCAAACGTCATCAGCTCAGTTATCGCTAGTTTCGTCCATGCAACAACAGTAGCTCACACGAGAGTGGACAGCAGTAAATCCGTAATGCGTCAATTGCCCAATTTACGATACCACAGCGCATATAGACACCGAGCGTCCTCCTTGCAGGTGGGGGACACAGGCCGCCCACCCTGAGTCAGCCGCTCACCAGTGCCACACCGCTGGAGGCGGGCGGCGCCACCTCCGGCGTGGCGGCGAAGCCGGGCACGGAGCGCGCGAACTCCTCGAACACGGCCGCCTGGCGGGCGGTGAGCGCCGCCAGGCGCAGCGGCTCGGGCATGTGCGACTCGTGGTAAACGGCCATATGTGGGTCGACGTAGCGGCGTCCTTCCTCGCGCGCCCTCTTGCGCAGGTCGTACTCCTGCGGCGCGCACAGACGACGGTCAGTGAGCTCGGCGCCGGCCGGACGGCCCGTTCGCTAGCATAGGGCAGGACCATTGCCGGCCCTGAAGCGCTGGTTTGGTTACAATTGCTTCGACAGATCGCTGCACTAACGCCAAACCTGGAGGCGGGTCCAGCCTAGATCAAAGGCGGCCGTGCCACGATCTTTACCACGCGATGTATGTCGCATACACATACACCCGCCCATACATACGCCGCATACACATACATACCCGCCCATACATACGCCGCATACGCATACACCCGCGCAGCTTAAACACAGGCGGAAGAACCGGCACAAGGTGGGCCCTCGGTAAGCATGCGTAGAGGGTCTCACGACAGTGGAGAGCTGTTACCGGAACGACACGGTGCGCGGACAGCCGCGTCCGTCGCCGTCGCCGGGCGCGTTACTGACCGCCATGAGCCGCTTGTCCACCTCCAGGATGGCCTTCTCGACGGCCGTCTTCTGGATGAAGCAGCAGGCCAGCTCCACGTTGTCGGCCGCCACCCGGCCGGCCGTCTGCTCCATGAACTCCTGCTGCTGCGGCGTGGTGGCCGTCTGACGGCGAACGGCCACGCCCGTCATTCGTCGGCCGCAGTCGGACTGGCCGTCGCCGGGGCACGGCCGCTGTGGCGACCGCGCCCCGGCGCAACCACCGTACCTTGGCCGCAGCCCTGTACCGGCGTCACCCACCTGCAGCTGGCGCGATGACAGCGACAGGCTCGTGGCCGGCAAACTCCTGCCGTGGACGCGGTACGCCAGCATCGCACTCGTCACAACGTCGCCGGCCCCAAACACGATCAGCATTCACTCCGACCACGTCTCCCCCGGGCTCCAGCGGGCGGCTGGGAGGGAGGTCCGACCACGCCTCCCCCGGGCTCCAGCGGGCGGCTGGGAGGGAGGTCCGACCACGCCTCCCCGGCTTACAGCGGGACGGTGGAGGGAGGGTTCCGACCACGCCTCCCCCGTGCCTCCAGCGGGCGTCCGGGAGGGAGGTCCGGACCACGCCTCCCACGGGCTCCAGCGGGGCGCCGGGAGGGAGGTCCGACCACGCTACCCCCCGGGCCCCACGGGCGGCTGGGAGGGAAGGTGACCAAGCCTCCCCCGGGTCCCCAGGGGGGCTGGGAGGGGAGGTCCGACCACGCCTCCCCCGGGCTCCAGCGGGCCGGCTGGGAGGGAGGTCCGACCACGCATCCCGGGCTTTCCGGCGGGCGGCTGGGAGGGAAGGTCCGCCACGCCTCCCCGGGCTCCGGCGGGCGGGCTGGGAGGGAGGTCCGCCACGCCTCCCCCGGGGGCCTCGGCTGGGCGGCTGGGAGGAGTTCCGACCACGCTAACCCCCGGGCTCCAGCGGGCGGCTGGGAGGGAGGTCCGACCACGCTACCCCCCAGGGCTACAGCGGGGCGGCTGGGAGTGAGGGGATGCCGACCACGTCTCCCCCGGGCTCCAGCGGGCGGCTGGGAGGGAGGTCCGACCACGCCTCCCCCGGGCTCCAGCGGGCGGCTGGGAGGGAGGTCCGACCACGCCTCCCCAGGCTCCAACGGGCGGTTGGGAGGGAGGTCCGACCACGCCTCCCCCAGGCTCCAACGGGCGGCTAAGAGAGAGGTCCGACCACGCCTCCCCCAGGCTCCAACGGGCGGCTAAGAGAGAGGTCCGACCACGACTGACGGCCGGGCCCAGATACGGCAACAGGAAGAAATCGCGGGCTGGCAGACGCAATGACCTAAATGGGATCTTTTGTAGTGAAATACGGACGCCCATTCATTTCACGATCATACTGGGGGAGCCCCAACCCAACTCGATAGCACAGCGACAGCATGCTACCCACACGAACCGCCTGGCTCGACCGGCGGGTGGACCGCGGGCCGGCGTGACACTGCATCGCCTGCACGAGCTCGGCGCCACCGCCGGACGTTGCCCGGGGCGGCCACTCACCCGGACCGTGCCGAGCAGGGCGGCCTTGACGTTGGTGGCTATGGAGACGGCGAGGTGGTCGCGGCAGTTGATGAGGGTCAGTCCGGCCGTCAGACTGAGCACCATCTGGTGAGCGGCCGCGCGCATCTTCAGCTCGTCCGGGTCCAGCGCCAAGTCCTTCTTCACCACCTGCTCCACCGTGTTCACCGCCAGCTGGTGGAGAGGGGAGAGGGCGTCGGGGGCTGCACACGGCCGGCGGGGGACCGGCACGCCGTCGACACGGCCGGCGGGGGGTAAGCACCGGGCCAGCTCCTGAGGACGACGTGCGACGCAAAGAAGCCGACGGAGCCCGCCGCCGCGTCGTTGGTGACGGCTAGATACCTCACGTTGCAGCAGTTCTCTCAGCAGCAGCCGGCTCACACCAGTCCTAGTCAGTACACACAGACACGCAGCAGCACACACTGAGACTAGCAGCAGGAGCGCGGCAGTTCCCGACAGTCCTGACCACTCCAGCCGACGTTGCAACAGGAGGCCCCCACGCCCGGTGCCGCCGGCTCACCTTGCAGTTACGTTCGACGGCGCGCGGCAGCCAGTCTTGGACGGTGCGCTCCACGGCCGGCCTCACGATCTGCTTCAGCTGCGGATTCGACTGGAACAGCGGCAGCTGCCCGGACGGGAGCCGCGGTCAGGGCTGAGCGAGGCGCCAGCTCTCCTCGCCAGAGGAACGAACACCACCCTTAGAACAGCGCACTGTTACCAGTGACGAGAAGCTCCCACCTACAGCTTATTACGTACACCTCTACAAAATGATCGTTTCTCCAGCAGAGCCCACGCATGACAAATAAACGGGAAGAACATCAACTCCTCCGTATAAACTGCGGCACCACTGCGGCGGCAGGCGGTGGCTGTCGTCCGCACCGTGACGTTGATGGTGATGTGTGGAGCGAGGCCTGCGATGCTGCTGGTGTTGATGTCCCCGAACGAGAAGCGGGGCGCCGTCGCCGGCAGCACCACCTCGGTCACCGCCGCCGCCGCCGCCTCCTCGGCCTCGCCGGCCGGCGGCGCCAGCGGCGCGGACGTGGCCGGCGGCGGCGGAGGCGGCGGCGGAGGTGGCGGAGGAGGCGGCGGCGGTGGCGGAGGCGGCGGCGGCGGCAGGGCTGGCGGCGCCGTCAGGCTGGGCCGCTTCAGCTGCACGGGCAGCCGCTGCTGTCGCAGCGGGTCGTTGAGGCACTGGCTGGGCGTCAGCTCCTGCCGCCGAGGACGGTCGGTGAGCGCGGCGCCGGTGCTACAGCGGCTCCGGCCGGCTCACCGCTGCCGGTTGTGAGCGGCAGCGAAACGAGACGGGAAGCTGCTCTCATACACAATGGCACGCGTGTCGCATCTCGGATCATAACGTCAGACACACAACAAAGATCAAATGCACGGGAATAGGTCTGGCTGCAGTTAGGCTGTAACAATACAAGGCTCCAGACCGAAATCATCAACGTCATTTTCAGTGGGCACACTTCTACGAAATACACGTCACACAGATACCCAAGGCGTTACACAGGACTGCAAGATGGATGTCCAAGGCATTATGCGGGACTGCAAGATGGATGCCCAAGGCATTACGCAGGACTGCAAGATGACACCCAGGGCATTACGCAGGACTGCAAGATGGATGCCGATGGCAAGACGCCCTCTGCAGTCAGCGCAAATCATAAAGCCCATAATCAATGGATGATTAGGCACAACCGGCGCAGGCCACTCACGTTCACGTCCAGCGAAAGTGTCTTGCAGAGCACCTCAATCTCGAACTTGAGGTTGAGCTTGAGGTCCTGCTCTTGGTGCAGCTCCGCCAGCAGGTTCATCAGACCCAGTGTCCAAGGATTCGGCGGCTTGAAGATCTGCCGGCGGTGAGCAGCTGCGTAACCAGCCGCCCTCTTCGCCGGCCTGAGAACCGGCCAGGCTGGAGCCGGCGGTCTGAGCACCGGCCAGGCTGGAGCCGACGGCCTGAGCTTGGGCCGACGGCCTGAGCACCGGCCAAGCTGCAGCTGACGGCCTGAACGCCGGCCAGACTGCAGCCGACGGCCTGAGCACCGGCCACGCTGTAGCCGACGGCCTGAGTTTGGGCCGACGGCCTGAGCACCGGCCACGCTGCAGCCGACGGCCTGAGTTTGGGCCGACGGCCTGAGCACCGCCCAAGCTGCAGCCGACGGCCTGAGCACCGGCCAGGCTGCAGCCGACGGCCTGAGCACCGGCCAAGCTGCAGCCGACGGCCTGAGCACCGCCCAAGCTGCAGCCGACGGCCTGAGCACCGGCCAGGCTGCAGCCGACGGCCTGAGCTTGGGCCGACGGCCTGAGCACCGGCCAAGCTGCAGCCGACGGCCTGAGCACCGGCCAGGCCGCAGCCGACGGCGCCAAACGGAACCAGTCTGACCGCTAAGGCCGACCAGGCAGACCCGCCACGGCGGACAAGGACCAGACCCCAGCAGTGGGGTCAGCCAGACCCGACAACAAAAACCGGACGGAAGCCGAGGCCTCAGCCGTCCACCCCGCTGTAGCTCATGCGTCGCCCGGGCCTGTCGCACACTGCCGCGCGGGCCCTCGGCCCGCCGGTGTCGCGGCGGACGGTCCGGCGACACCACCAGTGCAGGGCTGCGGCCACCTCGCCAGCATCAAGGCCTAATTCCACCGAGCGAAACCACGACTCCACGCACTTCTAATTCGCCTCGGGTGGACAAACAGGCCGCGAATCACGCAATTTTAACTGGACTTTTAATCGGCTGTAATCGGCGCACCATTAATGAAAAAGACAACATAGCAGTGAAACCAAATAACAGTGAAACCAAGTATTTCCGGCAAAACCAAGGCGTTTAGGTTGCGTGACGCTCACGCCGCACGAACCAAAAGCACGTGCCTTTCACTGTAACAGCGGCCCCAAACGCCCGCGTATGTCGGTGGCCTACGGCAGCATCACCTCACCTTGGACTTCGCGGACGACTCGAGAACCTTGGCAACGAACGGCACCACGTACAGAAGCTCCTGGACACCCAGGTGGTAGGCCTCGATGACCAGCGACTTCATGTCCAAGTCCGTCTGCAACGGCCAGTCGGCGCCCATCAGCAATGTCCCAGGCATCACTGGCGGAAGGGCTATGCAGCCGCCAAGACATGCATCACCAAATCAACAGTCACGTAGATTTCGAAGCGGGCAAAGATGTAAGCAGCGAATAGTTGGCGAACACGAACCACAGCCTGCTGGCTGGTACAGCCGGCAGGCGGCGTGATCACGGCAGGTGAACGCCGCTGACGTAAAAACCGCAACACCCGTCGTGGCGCGACCGATGGCGACGAGCGACTGTGACCGAGTATGACCCCACAGCGCCGTGGATCAGTGCCACACCCTGTCCGTCTCTCCCCGCTCACGCCTCTTGGGCAACGCGCCCGTCACGGGCTCCACGGCTCGCTGCAGCACGCTGTCGGCGCCCCCACGGGGCGTGCGCGCCAGGTCCACGCAGCCGAGCCGCCCGGGGCCCGGCTGGTGTGTCGACACGCTGGCCACATCGGGCGATCCCAGACCTGAAGGATCGGCTTGTTCTTGGCGATGGTCATCAAGCCCAGCCAGTGGCCCAGGTTCTTCAAGATCGTCCGGTCGTTGAACTTCTCCACGCCCTTGTCTGCTCGCAGCAGAACCTGCCAGCGAAACACCCAAGTATACTGAGAAACACGTTCCTAGACACGCGCCACTTCCTAGCCGCGAAATGCTATCTGTGAAAAGCACACACCGGGCGTGCTAGCAAAAACGCATGCAAGATACATGTTGACCGAGCAGTGTTTCACAATGGCCTCAGGGCAGCGTGACACCGCGACATAGCCGCGGTGGCGACAGACGGGGACCCCCGGCAACAAGGCTCATTTGCTTCCTGACACGGCCACACAGTGGCACAGCACAACGGAGCACAAGCGGTGCAGTGGCACAACGCCGTACGTCACGCCACGTGACAACACACAACACAAGACCATAATGACATCTGACCCCCACCGGTGTCACCCCGCAGGGTGCGATGACACTCCCGGCGTGTCGACACCCGCTTCGAGCTTGAATAACATCGCTGATTTACAATTCAGAATGCGTGGATTTTTGCACAGCCGCTGTCATCTTTGCTGACACTCCTGCCGCCATGTTCGTCACTGTAGCTCGCGCCATTTGTGCAGTTAGGTCAAAGTCCGACTAGTCAAAGAAGGAAGACCTTTCTTCGGCGCGGGACGACGTCATCACGCCACATAGGACATGACACGTCGCGTCGTATCGCGGTCCGGTTCGCTAAGTTACAGCACAGCATGGCACGGCACGGCACGGCACGGCACGGCACGGCACGGCACGGCACGGCACGGCACGGCACGGCACGGCATGGCACAGTGCGACCCGCCCCAGCGCGGCCCGAAAGCGGCGCCATCCACTGACCTGGATATTGTTGTACAGCTCGCGCAAGCAGAGCTGCAACAGCTGCGGCAGCTCCAGCGCGTCCATGAAGTTGGCGTAGAGCGTGTGGAAGTTGGGCTCGATGCTGACGCGGCGCATCACCACGTACTGCGCGAACCAGGGCCAGTAGTCCCGCTCCATCACGGCCAGCAGGTCCTCACACTGCGGCACAGGCGGTCACCGGCAGTTAGTCGGTCGGTCGGTCGGTCGGTCGGTCGGTCGGCCGTCAGTCAGTCCGTCAGCCAGCCAGCCGGCCAGCCAGCCAGCCAGCCAGCCAGCCAGCCAGCCAGCCAGCCAGCCACAGACCAGCCCGCGTGCGGAGCCGGACAGGTGACAGCGGCAGAGATAACAGCATGCCAGCTCCTGGGCCGCGCAGTCAGCACAGTGTCCTGGTCAGGGTTATCGCACGGTCGCTTCCCAAGCCGACGCGCAGAGCAGGCGAACCGACGAAGCCAGATATAGCAGACGGCCGAGTGTAGTGAGGTCACGGGTCAGCTTCGACCACGCCGCATCCAAGCGCTTCCCGGAGCCGACGGTCGTTACTGACATTTTTGTTTACATGCGGGCTGGGATATCTCATCAAAAACCATCACTTGTGTTTCCTGAGATGCCAGACTAATGAGGCAATCCACCAGCTGATAAGCCAATCAACAATTGATACACCAATGCTCGGATAAATAGCTCAGACGAAAGGCGTGTACGCTCAGTATTTTGTTATTTTTCTCTCAGGTGACGTGTCAAAGCCTCCTCGTCCTCGCTATTAGGGCTCTACGGTGCCCTCAGTACTGACGCTACATGGCGCTGCCTGTCGCTCACCTTGGCAGGAATGGCAGGCACCGCCGGCAATCACACCTTATATCTCTGGCTTCCCAGACGCGTCAACCACTACACTATCGGTGGTACGCTGTCAGAGCCTTGTCAGAAAGCAACCACTCAGGCCTGCCACGAGGTGCTCTCGCGCCGCCTCACCTTCTGGCTGAGGTTGAGCTGGCTGAGGTTGTTAAAGATGAAGCCGACCTTGTCCTGCACGACCTCGGAGGGCGGCGGCGCCTCCTGCAGCGCCTTCACCAGCGTCTCGATATTCGTCGTGTTGGCTATGGACGGCCGGCCGGAGACGAGCGCGGCAGTGAGCACCGTGGGCCGGGCGCCGGCCGAGGAGGCGGCGCTGCCGGCCGGCGCCGCCGGCGTCGCCAGCAGCGACTGCAGGTGAGCCGGCAACACAGAGCCCTCGGGCCGACCGGCCGGCTCCTGGGAGCGCATCCCGCACTCCACGTACTGAAACGGCGCCGAGCACGAGCGATGACGCGGCAGACGGGTGGCCAGCTCTCGGGGCAGGGGCACGAACGGAGGGACGCACGAGGGACGCCGAGCGTGGGGGCGATCACCGGACGCGGGTCACACACATGCCTTCATGCTTACAGCAATGACCGTAACTGATAGATCTCCGACTGTCATGTTCAACTGCTGCCACCGAGAGCGTGATAAATTAGCATGCGGATGCCTCCGACAGAACGGTTGAAACAATAAGGCCACGTTCGAAATGCCGGCCCGCGAGCCACGACCGCCGTGTGGACACTGGCGCTCACCTCCATCAAGTGTCTGGGGAACTGGCTGAAGTGCTGGATGGTGGCCAGATGCTGGCAGTACTGCGGGTACTCGCGCAGGCGGGGCCGGAACCGGTCCAGCGCCAGCACGCCGAAGTAGTACATCTTGGAGCCCGGCTGGTTCTTGACGGCGTCCAGCACGTAGCGCAGTGCCAGCCCAAGGCCGTTGTAGCTGCCGGCCGGACAGGACGGCGTGAGGGTGGAGGTCTGATGATGGGGAGAGGTGAGGGAAGGCATGCGCTAGAAAGAATTAAGGATCCATGGAGACACAGGGCCAGAATGCCGGGGAGACGAGGTTTCAATAGGCACGGGCTCAGGGAGACAAATTCAGGGACGCAGAGGGGTGGTGGACACTAGGGGAGACACGAGGTAGAGCTGGAACCACAAAAGATCAGGAAGACACTGGACTGGAGACACAGCGTGGCGGCGCTCAACGACCACATAGTCTGGAGTGGTGTGGGATGGTGGACTTTCCCACACCGGATTGTCCTGCCACGAATATTCTCACAACGTAGTGAAACGTCATAAGACATAACACAAATAACAAACCCATAACACAGACAGTGAGTCATCCATCTTGAAATTGCATCACAATTACACATGCGCCTTAAAAAACTTAAGGGCATACTGTAACTTCTGTCCTTCCGAACGCTGGTTTCCAACACATGGCTGTGGGATCACAGTAACAGCCATGAATGCCTTGCTGCGACCATCATGACTCCGCCACCCCCGAACACCTCTTGCCCCCCATTTTCTGTTCGCAGACGCATGGGTCGGCAACCCAGCGTGCGCGCGCGCGGCCAGTCAACCAGTCTCACTTCGTGACTAGGCTGTGCTCTATGATGCCGCCGAACAGCTGGGCCGTCACGTACAGCTCCTTGTCCGGGTATTGCGGGAAAAACTTGTACTCATCCATCAGGCTGCGCAGCATGCACGTGAACACCTCCTGCCAGGGGGCAGCGCGTCAGAGGAGCACGTCAGCACCAGAGGAGGGCGATGGTCAACCCCAGCCACCGCAGCCAGCCGACCCGGCAGTAAATATGTCCTACCCCAGTCCGCGCGCGACTGGTGACCACGTCGCCGCAAAATCTGTCGCCCTCAAATGCTCCACACAATCCTCAGGCGGTGTGTAGGCTGCTATCGAAGCGCGCTCCATCTCCCTTCGGCGTCTCGAAACATCACTTCAGCGCGTCTCGCACACTCGCGGAAACCAGCCGCGCAAACAACACTTAAACTCAAGCCAGTGCATTCACGCATCCAGGACCCACAGTTATATCACCTACACATATCGCTACCACCCCCACCACCACATTCCCACAAGCACCGCCCTGCCTCCGTCGCACACTCCCTGTACCCCCTCCCCCCCCCCCTCCATCTCCTCTCCTGAGCAGCCGGCACTGACCCGCTCGCGCTGGACGCTGCTGTCCTGGTACCGCTTGAGCATGTCGAGCACCTCCTCGATGGAGAGCGTCGGGTGCGGCGGGTGGTTGTAGATGCGCTGGAAGTTGCTGTTGGCCTCCTCCTCCACCTCCTTGGAGAGCGCGGCCGCCTCCGACTGGAAGAGGCTCAGCTCCGCGGCTGGAACGGGCCGAGCCGGAGGTCAAGCGCCGAGTCAGACCGCGCGCCATGCACCGTATGAACAGCGTCCACGGTAACCACAGCTGAGAGATACTGATAAGACAAGGGAAGGTACTAAATCGCTGGCATGCGTCACCTCGATAAGCGGAAATGATAGCTTAATTCTCAGCTGCCAGCAAAACAAACGATAAGTCTCAGTTCCCTAGATCATGGAGACCTTGTTAATTGGTAAGGGTGTACTGCTATGGTGGCATTTCTTTATTTTTGGATAACATGGCTTTTCTGGAACATTTCAAATGGGCTTTGGGACAGCCATATGCTTGCCGCGTGAGCTACCTGTTGGGACGACCAAACTCAGCCCGTCACGCGCACACGCACACACACACACGTCGCCGCACACACAGGGCGTAGAGCACGGCCCCCCCCCCCCCCCCCCCAGAGCAGCATGAGCGGCACACGACTGCGGGGAGCTCCACACCGGAGCCCGACCCTGCCCCCCCCCCCCCCCTCTCCCTCTCCCACCGACTGACACTGTGAGGTGCGGGCCGGCAGGGCGTGGGCCGAGCCGAACGGCCCCGGCGCCTGGGAGGCGGCCAGCGGCCCGGAGCCGGCGCTGAGCAGCTGCAGCGGCCCGCTGCGGCCCGCGGCGCCCACCGCCGACGAACCGCCGCCGCCGCCTGCTGGCCACGATGGCGTCAGACGTGGGGTCGGCAGGGGCCGAAGCGGGAGTCAGCAGGGTTAGCAGGCGTCAACAGGGTCAGACGTGAGATCAGCATGGCCTTACGTGGGGTCGGTAGGGTCAGTAGGTGTCAGGAGGGTCAACAAGGATCAGGATGGTCAGCAGCGGTTGGGGGGTCACCTGGGATCGGTAAGTTCGGCAGGGGTCGGTGGGGCCAGAAGTGGGGACAAAGGGCGGACTCAGAGTCAGACGCATGGACAAGGGTCAAATGGGTCGGACAAAGGGTCACCTGGGTCAGGCATGGGTCAACAGGACAGGCCCGGGGTCATGGGTCAGCAGGTGAGAGCAGGATAACCAGCTGCGTTCATCTAACATTACATCGTCACGGGTCCACGGCGTCCGAGATGTAGCCTGACGGCGTGAGTCAGCCATGTAACAAGCCTGGACGCGAGCCAACAACCTTACCGCGGAGGGCACTATCTGATCACTTTTTCCCACCCGAGACGTGCTGACATCGCGAGAGCGCGCCGCAGCTCGGTCGGAGGCAAGGCTCCACGCGCCGCCCGAGCGTCCAGCTGAGCCGGGCGGCGGCGTCCGGCGACGTCAGGCGCCACCCGGGGCCGAGCTCCTCACCGAGCAGCGTGAAGGGCGAGGTGAGGCCGAGGCCGGGACTGGGGGCCGAGCCAGCCGCCGAGAGCGCGCTCAGGCCGCCGGTCACGCCCTCCAGGCCCGGCGCCGGGAACAGCTGGGGACGCGGCGCCGGCGAGGTGTTACAGTGTGACCGCTCAGGACGGCACGCAGGCGCACGCGCTGCCGGTGGCCGGCTGGAGCGCGGCGCAGATAACGAGATCACAGCATCAGGTAGCATCAGTGTACAGCGCCAGGTAGCATCAGTGTACAGCATCAGGAATTATCCGTGTACAGCGCGAGGACACGTCGCCAGTAACATGTCGCGGCGAGAAGCCACACAACGTCTTGAATCCAACGGCTCGCGTTACCTCCTCGTCAGCTGGACACTGGCAGCATGTCTCATCCCGGGTCCAACGACCGACGGCCTTGCCGCGGCCGGAAGTCTGCTCTTACAACTGCCCCCGCATACATACACGTATTGACCGTCGCCGCGTCTCCACCCCGCCCTTGTCCCGCGCCGCCCCTGGCGCCTGCCCTTGGCGCCTGCCCCTGGGCGTGACGCCCCTGTCACCTGTGCGGAGAGCGGCGAGGGGCTGAAAGGCGACGGCGGCGGCGGCGGCTGGCGCTGCCGTCCCAGCAGCAGCTGTCCGGCGGCGCCCACCATGGCCAGCAGCGCGTCGCTGAGCTCCGGACCCACGCCCGCCGCCCGCTGGTGCAGCACGCTCAGCATCGTCACCGCCATGTCGGCCGGCAGCGTCGCCTTCGCCGGCGGATCGGAGTCCTTGGCGGCGCCGGCTGACAGCTGCGGCACGCGACGCTGCGGGCGGCAGGGGGGGGGGGGGGGGGCGTGAGTGGGGCGCACCGACGGAGACAGGCCTGCCCCAGGCCGGCCACTGAAGGTCGGCCACGGATGCCACTGGTAACAGAGTCCGGGCTGATCTTGGGGTACGGTTCCGAACCATTTCTACCTGCACGGCCCTTGTGTCATGCAGGTTAAAGATGACTCATAGCTACAGCAGAATACGGCGGGCGGCTTACACCATACTGTACACCGAGTGCACCGACGCCACGTGCACAATAACGCCGTGTGTTTCGCACTGGCTCGTCACTCGGCTCCGCCGCCGTCTCCTGCCAATTCTGATCCCCGTTGGCAGACGGTAGGGTCTGACCTGCAGGAACTTGACGCAGGCGGTGATGAACGGCTCGCCGTGCTCCATGGCCTTGTCCGACACCCACTTGTCCAGCTTGAGGTACTCGCGGCGGGAGGCGAGGCAAGCCAGATCGATGACGAACGGCAGCGCCTGGTGGTTCAGCAGGTACGACAGGGCCTGCCGGCGGCGGAGACGGGGCGGTCAGCTGAGCCAGGCAGACGCCCTGGTGGTGGGGGGCACCAAGACGTCTTGCGACGGCTGTGGATGACGAAGCTCGACACCGGTACAGACGGCCACATTCTCGCTGCATCTGATAGCAAACTTCAAAAGAGGAATACGAGACCCAGCTCCCGTCAACCACCCCACTGAAGAACGCTTAGTTTTATTATAACTCACAAAACATGAGCCCACTACACCGCCACGTTCCACCGCCACGCCTCCCCTGCTGCCTTTCACCCCCAGCACCGGTGCCCCATCCCCCCCCCATCCCCCCAACCCCACCCTCCGCTTGACCCCGCACACCTTGAGGTCCTGGGCCACGTCGAGGACGCGCGAGAGGCGCGCCTGGTCGCCCTCGCCCTGGCGGTACCACTCTGCCATGGTGTGCGCGAGCATGGCCTGCACGGCGGGGCCGTTCTGCGGAGAATGCCAGGCCTGGTGCAGCACCGCCCCGCTGTTGGGGTGGTGGCCGGCTGCCGGCCACGGCGGCGTCGGTCAGTCGAGCTCCTCCGAACGGCAGGGAGGCGGGACGGCCGACCGGGGCGGCCGACCGGCGCTCACACGGCCAACCCAGGTGCCAGACGAAGCAGAGACGCAGAGAATCGCGAGAGTGACGCGTTTCAGATCCGGTGGTTGGCTTACGCGAGAGGAAGCGATGACTTTCGGACCCGATGGCAAAAAAAAACACGAGCAAAACAGTCCCATGTCACTGAAAATCCGTCAGGGCAGAATGCTCTCGCAAGTCACCAAGATCCACGCATCACTTCACTCCATGACAACGCTATAATCCGTCTACCATAAATACAGTTACATTGCACCGCCATCAACAGCAACGGTCGCACAACACCCCAGTGGCGAGCGTTACACCCGGGCCGGGACGGCGACGGGCGGCTGGCCTGGCCACCGTCCCGGCCCGGGCCCGCCGCCACTCACTGAGGAAGATGGGGAACAGCGTGGAGAGCAGCTCCTGGGCGAGGTGAGACGTGCTGCCGGTGGCCAGCAGGTTCAGCGACAGGATGTCGGGACAGCTCTGCAGCGGGAAGTTGAGCAGCTCCTGGACGGCGCACGAGTGCCCACTCTCGGCCAGGTGCAGCAACAGCTGCATCAGCTCCGTGCACCGCCTGCCCGGCAGCCGGACGGCCGTCAGAACGAGCACACCGCCGCGCGGCAGGCCATCCAGATGCGGCTGAACGGAGCGTGTCACGCGCGGCCACCCGAATGGAGGGAAGGAGCAGAGAGCCAACTCCGCTCAAGTGGACGAGCAAACGTGGCAGCACAACATTGCCGTAGAAAGCGCAGTTGAGCAGAAACGCGCGGCACAGCAGCCACGCCCAGGACTGTGGGGCAAACCCAGGATAACACGTGGGCACATCAAACCACCATCTCACCCAGTCACCTGCCAGTCTCAGACCTCCCCAGAAAAGCGCATCACGCGAGCCTGTCTGCAGCGAACGTGACAGGTCGTAGCCTGTCACACACAGCGCACCTACACTCGGCCTCACACGTGCCAGTGGCGGCCCAGCCGGGCGCCGCGCGCCGCCACACGGCCGAGGAACGGGCGCCACTCACCACGTGTTGACCTCGCGGCTCTCTTTCTCCGGCGGCATCTTCAGCTGCGACGTGTCCACCATGTGGCACTGGTAGTCGGCCAGACAGAACACGTCCCAGCACTTGAGGATCTGCTTGATATACGACAGCTGGCGGCAGGAATGCCGGGCGTCACACAGGGCACGAGTCGGAGACGCTCTGTCGACGCGCCGCACCGACCGCGCGTCACCGACAGCACCGGACGTAACGCCCGTGTGCTGCTGCGCGCGCCATATAACATGACAAATAAATTCGTCGACGAGGACGATCGACGCCCGCAAGGTAATCGTGACACTACGTCACGTGAGGCCCCAACCCCTGTCGCTGCGTCAGGGTAACCCCAACCCCAACCCCAGCCACGCTGCGTCAGGGTACTATGCATCAAAGCGAACGAGATCGCGAAAAAGAAAACCAGTTGGCGGTACTGATCCCGCCATTCCCCACCAGCCTGCTCGCGCGCCCCGCGGCCGGCGCCGGTACGCGTCTCACCTGGCTGTCCGCGTTCTTCCAGACCCGGTAGAGCACCTCCACAGGGAAGGCGTCGGCGCGAACCCCCTGCAGCTGGAGACCGAGCCTCAGCGCCTGGGTCAGCAGGCAGAAGGCGGTGCGGTCCTTCAGCTGGAAGCCCGGGTGGTCCAGGTGGTACACCACCTCCTTCCACTGGATCGACGGCGCCTGCCGGTCAGGAAAAGACGGTCAGGAGCGGACGAGAAAGAGAACGTCCAGCTATATTCCTTATTGTGTCAGTGAACCGGCAACAATCTAAAAGTCTCACGACATTACTCCCCGAGTCCCAGCTTTCCGCACGTTACCTCCTCCCTGCCTATCGACTCACTGCGAACAGCCCACTGTTTGCCTCTGTGTAACACCGCCTCGCTCACGACTTGCACACATTACGCCTCACGACTGACTCTCCAATGTCTTTTCACGTCGCTGATGGCTTAAAAGCTCGCCGGCTACCCGCAAGCCATCTTCCAGTCAGCCCCCCCCCCCTCCCCCATTCCAAGCCCGCTTCCTCACCAGCTCGTAGACGGTGCGTACGAACACGTCGATGTTCCACGTCTGCGGGCCGTCCTTGGGCTTGTCGGCCGCCCAGATGGAGGCGGCCGGCTGCAGGCTCTGGATGGGCACCTGGTCGGCCAGGCCGGTGTAGGTGCGCACCATGGCGCCCAGGCAGCGCGCCACCGCCGGCGCCGTCAGCGCCGAGGCGCCGTGGTTCACCAGGTGGCGGCGGCACTCCTCCACCGACGCGCACAGGTTGTAGCCCACCTCCAGCACGAAGTCGGCCAGCGAGCCGTCCAGCTGTGTGGAGAGAGGGACCGGTCGGTGGAGACATGCCATGCAGCGGGGGCGTCTCATACGCGGCGGATCGCACACTGTTCACCAACGGGCGGCTAGGCAGGTGTGGGCGTTGGCAAAGCAACGTCACACGACGGCGGCGCTCACCGCCAACCACGGCCTAAGTAGTAACGAACAGCTATACGAGTCGGCATATAAACCACACAACCCTGACACCCAAATGCAAAAATATCTTTTTCGCGTTTTTGGAATAGTTCATCAGAACAACGGTCCGTCCCGGTGGCTCAGTTGGTTAGAACGCCTGCCTTCCGATGCACCCACTCGTGGCGGGGTGGGTTCGAGTCGCTTTAGGGCGCCCGCTATTTGCCCTTGACAGGTACGGCCTGCGGCCGGTGGCAGCGGTCGCGCTAAAGGTCAGTTGACGTCAGAGGGCAGGACGGACCGCGCCGAGCATTACGGTACGTTCACCTTTCGCCACCGAATTCTGCTGTTGACATGGAATTGCGCGATCGGATTGTAGGGGTCAGGGCTCACACAACAAGCACTGCTTAGCGTGAGCCCTGATCCCGGAAATCCATCCATTCAAAGGGTTCGGATCAAATCTTTAAAAAAATATAATAAAAATGGAGCGTAAGGTATTGCTCCTTTGGATGACCAGATTAGCATTATCGACGCCTGTATTTACACAAGCATGCAACGAAAGATACGTAAGCCGACCACCGACTGACAACCAGCACGTATGGTCACCAGAGCGCGCACGCGGGCGCGAGCGGGCCGGGCGCGCGCCACCACTGACCAGGTTGGAGGCCATGTTGCCCGGGCTGCGGATCTTGTCGACAGGAATGTCGGTACTCTCGGCGAAGATGAGCGGCGCGAGCACGACAGGCACGCGGTCACGCGGGAAGTCTTGCCGGATCGCCTCCAGAAAGCTCTCCTGCGAGTCCGCCGCCTGCCCGCGCGACGCATACCGCTCACAGTCATGGGCCATATGATGATCACGATCACGGTCGCGGTTTCAGTGACCGTCAACGTCATCATCACCGTCACCGTCACCATCGCATTCGTTTGTCACGGTTGTCTTTCATGGTCACTGTTACGGTCACTGCTGACCGTAACACGCATACCGCTTACAGCAATGGGCTATATGACGATCACGGTCGGGGTCACGGGCACGGTTACGGTTACGGTTACGGTCAAGGTCACGGTCGCGGTTACAGCCGCGGTCATCGTCATCGCCATCGCCTACGTCACCTTCACACTCGTTTGTCACGATTGCCTTCCACGGTCACTGCTACGGTCACTGCTACGGGCACAGTCAGACACTGTTACGGCCACGAGCTCGGTTCCGGTCATGGCCACGCCTCGGTCACAGTGACGATCACGGTCACAGGCGGCGGGACCATGGCGAGAGCCGGAGGGACGAGCGCCGGCCATTCTGACGTGCGTTATTCAACGTGAAACACGATCGTAAATCGACTGTACTGGGGAGTGCCCAGCAATACAGAACTCGCACCTGCATGCAGCGAGCAACTGACCACCACGACAACGTTTACAGTCACTCCAAACGGTGACGCGTCCACTGATAACCATGACTGAACAGAACGCCGCCTCTCGCCTCTCACAACACCGCTCACGCCATCGTAACTTTTCGCGAGTCAGCAAGAGTACAGGCGCCCGCGTTATCTGTCGCCGAGCGCAGCGTTCATCTCCCCGCCCCCCCCCCCCCCCCCCCCCGCTGCACGGGTGCCGGCTGCGATCAATATCGCCCGCGGCCTCGGTCAGCCGGCCGGGGTGATCAAGTGCCCGGTGTCACCTTATCGAGCTGATCGGGCGGCGCGAATAGGAGCCAGGAGATAAGTTGATGCAGCACCTCCGGCGACGACTCCTGCAGACCGTCCTGGTCCGACGCGCCAGTCGAGTCAGCTGATGGCATACAGGCTGTGGTCAGCTGATGGCACACGTCAGTCAGCTGACGGTGCACGTGCTCTGCTGGCAGGCGTTGGACAGTGGCAGGGTACCCCTCACTGGTATGACGTTAATTTACGAGCGCGGTTGATCGTGTGATTAGACTGGGAGTTGGCAGCACCGCTGGAAGCGTCGACAGGCAGGCGGCCATCTCAATGCTACACACAAATCAGTTGCTACAGCGATCGCCGCTAGACGCGGGACTAACGTGCTCAGTACTGCTACAACAGTCGGGTAGGACGGCTTGTCCTGTTGGGATAATGCTGTCTAGACTGGGACTAGCTTGTTAAGTTTACGGAGAAAACATAACTGTTACGAAAGCTTGAAAATGTGGGCTCATTGAAGACAACTAGCCAAGAACATAATCAAAAAGGATCACTCTAGTGAATATGCCAAATAAATACCGGACAAATTTTGCCAATAACATTACCTGAGTCAATGTAGTCCTTGATGAGATCAGGAAGCTTCTGCTGGATAAACTGCTCGGCGTGCCGGACGGTGTCCGAGTTCCGGGAGTGAAGGAGCGCGATGGAGAACGCGACCTCCTCCGGCTTCCCGAGCTTCAGCGCCCGGCAGAGCTCCTGCAGAAGCGTGTCAGACGGGTTCTGCGAACCAAACGGCAACACCGGGCTTGAGCCTGAAACACTCAACAGCCTGATGAATGACACATCCAGCTGCACAACTCACCTGACAGGTTAAGTCTCACTTCCACCTACCAGCCAGTAAGCAAGCACCAGCATATGCCCTGTTCCTTCTACACTCACCCCCAAAGCAGCCAAATACAACAAACACCAGGTGCGCCACCCACCTTCTGGCGCACAGCAGGGTGGTCGGCCAGCTGACACAGCACGTGGACGAAGTTGGGCCGGGTGACGAGGCCGGCACACTGGCGCTGCAGCAGCTGCAGCTGCGGATTCTCCTTGGCGGAGGCGCGGCCGGCACCGTCCAGCGGCACGTGCGAACACAGGCGGCGCAGCAAGTGGGTCTGGGCTTCCTGTCCGTACGCACCCACCACCTGGACATGGGGCGGCAGGCCAAGTTACACAACTGTGGCACATCATGGCCCAGTCTGACTGTGGCACAGAGTGGTGTGGTGAGGGCTATGGCTGGTCAGCCACAAACTATGACAGATGCTCCATTTCAGCGCTCATAGGGGGACCCAACGCCTTCACTTTAATGCACTGACACAACATGAAAATGTCTCCAACAATCCTCAAATAATGCCTGGGTACTTGATAAGCATGCCACAACATCTTCAGCTTTCTTAAGTAGAAGCACTGAAGTGCAAAATGGAATGTTATCAATGCATGAAGTGTAGGTGTGCATGAGAAGCCCAGTGGTATATGATCATGCATAGTTAGTAACCAGCTGTGAACTTACTCATTTTTAGGTTCCCTTCTCAGTTTCCTTTTTCCACAACATGAATGACAATGTAAAGCTAACAGAGACACCTATGAGACCTATGAGCCATCTACCTCACATGGATGACCAGCTTTCTGAGCTAGTACTTTGGCATAAATATGTAATTGTTGCCACTCTATCAACTAACGTCATTCTTTTTGGCCTCCCAACATTCATTGGTTCCTTATCACTGAAATATGAAAATGGACTACATGAAGTTTGAATACAAAACATTCTGGAGAGCCCCTACTCAATCTAAAAACAATCAAGCCCATATTTCCCCCAAAATTGTGTTCTGAGATCAAACTATTGCAAAAAATTGGCAGAACTACGGCAGACTAATAATGTTTTAACATTTCTGACATAAAATTATCTGGACAAAAGCCAGAGCTTCCACTCATAGCATTTTAGATACACAAGCAAAGCTAGCTGATGTTTATCATTCACGGGTGACCTTTGCCATGATGACATATTGTCAACACTCCTTACTGAAAGGGTGCAGAGATGAATTCCCTCTCCAACCCTCAGCCATGACAAAATCAGGTAAGAAAATAAAAACCGTGTGACGCAAAGTGAAAATTTTGTACTGCGAAAATCTGAAGCATTTGACGACCATCTGTGCCATTGCGCATTACTGTTAACCAGGTCGAGTGGGACCTGGGGTCAAAGATGAAATTGCATGGTGATGGGTAAAGAGTCGGATGGCAACAGAGTCATCACAACGCAATATAAGTGAACGGATGCATGGAAATTGCATGTTATACAGGGTACAAACTGTATGATATAAAGATAGGATGTGATTATTATTGTAAATGCAAACAATAATGGGGTAAAATCACAATAAGCTAACATCACATCATACAAACAAAATATGAAATAGAATGCACAGGACAAAGGTTACCACAAGTCAAAGGCTAGGTAGGCTTGGTAAGCAAAGTAAGCTTAGCTGTGTAACACTTGGTGAGGTTCAGGCATGGTCATATGTCAATCATCTATTCTAGAAGTAGTGTTGGACATGGTGCTTATGACCATGCCAATTACATGCATTCCAAAATTAAACAAAGTAAATTACACCAACCCAAGAATGAACTGGGTGTGATTCGGTCTGTTTGATTTGGCTGGGTTAGGTTACCTTAGATCAGTCTTTACCATAATTTGCAACTTAAGTGTTCAAAACCAAAAAAAGGTTGTAACATTAATCACAACCACATCTATCACAAAACAGCTTTACTCAAAATGTGTTCTTTGTCAATGAGTTGCAAACAGTTGCACTGCACTTGTTGTTAGCCATAGAAAATGGAAGGTGCTGGGAAGCTGACATTATTAATTACCTATCATGGGTCAATGTATACATAACATGGCAGATGTTGGTAGAATGGAGCAAATATCACAGAGGATGTGAGCATAGGGCTTGTATATGGCAGAGATGATATATTACATGATATATATTCTAGTGTTTAGCATTTACCCAAATGTTCTGTTGGAGCTGTAGTGATGATTCATATCCCTGCAGATGTGACCATTCAGATGATGACTACCCCATGAAGGTGACAATTGGATTAAGGATCAATGCAATTCCTAACTTTATGGTTATTTATAAATCCATGAGCTATATATCAGATGACATAACAGTTGAGTTTCTGTCAAGGCTCTACACAATTTTCCTCCATAAGCACCTTCACCGCAGCCTTCAAAAATTCACCTTGGTTTGAAGTACATCAGATATCACTCTGAATAATAATGTGCTATATTACAGTAAATTACTTGTAATCAACCTTGTATGAATCATATTTCAGTGACATCTGGCTTAGTCACATACAGTCTAAAATGATTATAAGCCAAGTTCAAAGATCAGTGTAAAGCTATAAGCTATAATATACCCTAGATCATATAGTTGCATCATGTTATCTAAATCTAAGCTTGACCTACACCACACTGATATCATATATGACATCCAACACCATTCACATTCTGATTTGAGACTCTTCAGTTACCTGAATGGTAGCTTAAAGAGACCATGGTCAAAAGGCCAAGTTGCCTTCAAAATTTCTGATCACTGAGGTAAGATAAGGTAAGGTATATGATTCATGATTACGCCATACACATGCGTTCTGTTCATGGAAACAGAAATATAGGGAAAAACTCTGGCAACAAAACTAATTGATAGTATTATTTTTGAAGCCTTTAGTTTGTAGCTAAGTGAGACTTTGGAGAATGACACAAAATGTAATGAAACTGCTCATTAAGCACAAAAATTACAATAGAGAACAATATTGGAGACTAGTGATATGCCCAAGTTAAATCAAACTGCATCACATTGATACCATTATGCTCCAATTTAAAATAGAAAATGATGCTTTAGTTCTAATATGGGCACTGCACACCTTTCCAGCAGCTGGAATTTCATATTTTGAGCAAGACATGACACACAATCCCACTTCATTTCAAGATAGCAGTTTGGCAGCCCCTAGAAACAATAACATACTCTTACCTGCGTTATTTCTTGACAAGATGCCTTGAAGTTTTTCTTTGTGAGATTACCCACCAGATTATTTATGTGGATGAGAGCAAAAGACAACGAGTCCAGGTTCATAGTGCCATAAACGCCACACAAAAGGAAACTTCTGGCCCGGAAGTCTCCTCCGCTTTCACAAAAGAAATTGTCAGTTCACACAACTTATGTACAAATTCTCCGGTACATTCGAAAACAGCAAACACCCCTCTCATAACGCATTATTCACGTCATGACCACTGCACTTGCAGACCACCCTTTAATGATACGAGGCGCAGCCATCCCCTGACGCCATTGTCCAACGCGGCAGGAATCCAAGGCTGGCTTGATTCAAGGCGACATCTATGCAAAAATAGATTTGGTAGCATCTATTCACTTTCAGGCACAGGAAAATCTTGGATTAATTTTAGGCAGTGCGTATCCACCCTCCAAAACGGAGGGTGGTTACGCACCGGGCTTATACACCGTCCAAAACAGAGAGTGATTACGCACTGGGTTATACACCCTCCAAAAATATTTCAGATGGTTGTACATGTCAAGCATACGCGGATTGGCAGCCTTCGAGGGAAAAAAGTGCAAAAATGCAGAAAGCCGTGCGAAAGATCGGTTCCGTGCGTGATAGACGTCAAACGACCACGAAATCGGTCAACTCACTCAGAACCATTTCTATTTTAATTACGAATTTTCGGCCGCCGGGCCCGCAATTCCAGTGGATGCATGGTTAGCGTGCTGGTCTCGGAGGCGGTAAGCTTCGGGTTCGAATCTCGACGGCGGCCGCCGTTAAGTGGGTGGCTTCATGGTCTATCGGCGCGGCGGGGTGATGCCAACTCGCTTCACTTCTAAGCGAAATGAATTATTACTAGCACTTTTCATATCGAACAGCACCGTAGTTTCTAATGCTAGGGGGAGGGAGTTCACACTCTACAGACATATTTAGGATCTCGTGAAGGTTGACCGCAAATCTAAATGAGTGCGACACACTGAATAGCCAGTGGAAATGACGGATACGACGAAGGAGGCATGTATAATTACGTTCGCCAATTGCGCGTAAAAATTCATCGGCGCATATTCGACTGCTACTCAAAGGCGAAGGCACCAAGGCCAATAGGGACGGAACCTGAGCGGTCATAGGTGCCGCAGGAGGCCAACACAGCGGCTCCCGTCAACAAGTATAGGGTCCTCAGAGCAAGCAAAAAGAACTCACGTGGTGGGCCAACGTGGTGGGCGCACGTGGTGGGCTCCTAAACGATCGGTAGTGCCTTGACAGGCGGACCTATGAAGCCCCGATCATAGCACAGGACCCTCTGAGCAAGGGGGAATTATCCAATACTATAAATAAATACCCCTGTGCAATGAAGAGTGCACGGGCAGGCTAACAACACGAGTCTCGATAGGAGTGAAAAGTCAGCCGCAAATGAGACCAAAGGAGGAGAGCCCTCGACCAAAACAGAGGGCCCCTGAGCATCGAACGTCTCCTTGCCTTGCCTTATAAGACCCCTAGCAACGGCACAAGCCTTTCAAGTAAGTATAAAGTATCTGATACTTATATGAAGGGATCCTGAGCAGCTGAGTGCACTCTGGCATATGCGGCCTCGGAAAAAGTGTATGTAGCCTTTCGGGCGGGTGGGAAGAATCCGTGGAGGAAAACATGATTGATCAACTGTGCTGAAGCATGGAGGCAGGTAGCGTCCCAACAGCACATTGGGCCCTACGAAAAAATGTGAAGAGATCAAGGGTAACGTGGAAAGCTCTTTAGCGATCAGATTGACGCAGCATGTGGACATATAGGGACAGGCAGACAACAGCGTAATGCCTCTAGTCAGCGTAATGAGCCTTAAAATTCACCCCAAGCAACACTAAATCAGCGAAGAATGAACTTCGTTTACTTATGAACTCTTTACTTTTGCTAGCAATGGTTGTTGGTCATCTGTAGGCCCAAACGCATCCAATTTTGTTGTGCCTTTGTTGTAAGGAAACTGCGTCCGTCCGGCCGGTTACAGGCCCCTTCGGAGCCTTTGGGTTCCCTCGGCATGTTCCGTGGGACATGGTCCTGTGTCCCCCCCCCCCCCCCACCCTCTGCATCCACCACCGGCCGCGGCAGCTGAATAAATGGGGCCCGCAAAGAACATAGGGCCATCCATTCAAATAAGAAATACTCACGACACAATGTGTAGGGCTCTGAACGATCGAGTGCGCCAGAACAGGTTAACATGTAGGGCCCCCGTCAAGACCTTGGGGCCCTCCATTCAAATGGGAAGCATTCAAGACCCAATGTAGAGGGCCCCCGAATGATCGAGTGTGCCCGGGCAGGTTAACAGATAAGGCTCTCAAAAAGAGCGTAGGATCCTCCATTCAAGAGGACCCTCCAATGATCAGCAGTGTATCAGACCATGCAAACATACAGAGCCCGGTCAAAAGCGTAGGGCCCTCCATTCAAATTTAAAACATCCAAGACCCAATGTAGAGGTCCCCCGAATGATCGATTGTGCCCGAGCAGGTTAACAAATAGAGCTCCCAACAAGAGCGTAAGAGCCTCCATTCGAATGGGAAGCACTGAAGATCTTAAGTAAATGGGGCCAGAATGATGTAATGTGCCCGAGCAGTATATCAGAAGGAGCCCAACAAGAGCGCAGGACCCTTCATTCAAAGAAGAAGTACTCAAAACCCAGTGCGGAGGGCCCCCGAAAGATGGAGTATACCCGAGCAGATTATCAGGTCATCCAGTCAGGAGTGTAGGGCCCTAAATTCAAACATCAAGACCCAGTATAAAGTGCCACCGAACAATCCAATGTGGCCGAAGCGGCGAACAGATGGGGTTACCGACAAGTGCGTAGGTCCCTCCATTCAGATAGGAAGTACCCAAGACACAATGTGGAGAGCCTCCGGATATTCGAGTGCGCCGGAGCAGGTTAATAGATGGGGCGCCGGCAAGAGCGTAGGGCCTTCCGTTCAAATATGTATTACCCACGGCATGATGTAGAAGGCCCCGAATAACTGACTGCACCAGAGCAGGTTAACAGACAGGGCCCCCGAAAAGAGCGGAGGGCACTCCATTAGAAAAGAAAGTACCCAAAACCAGACGTAGAGGTCCCCCACGACCGAATGGGCCCGAGCATCTTATCAGGTGGGGGCCGCGACGGGAGCTTAAGGCCCTCTATTCAAATAAGAAGTACCTAAAACCCCATGCGGCGAAGGCGAATAGAAATCACCCATGGAAGGGCCCGTGATTGACAGGAGTTCCCCGGCACACTAACCGGACGGGCCCCAACAACAGCGTAGGGCCCTCTGGGCAAATGCAAAGAAATGAAGGACCGCGTGGAATGCTCCTAAAGGACCAAAATGAGCTTGTAGGGAGCAGAAAGGTCCCCCGGAAACAGCATGGGAACATAGACGGTGTAATGGGACTTAAAATTTCCAGCTCACAACTTCTCCAATCATTGAGTAATTTTGGGACTTCTCATATGCCTTTCACTTTCGTTTACGACTGTTCTTGGTGGTTTGAATGTCCATAGATACCCAGTTTTGTTACATCTTGTACTAAAAAAACTCTGTTCGGCCGGCTTTGGGCCCCTCGGAGCCAATGGGCCCCTTCGGGGCCCGAGGGTGAAGCATGCCCTGTGGCCCCCCTCTCTGGATCCGCCCATGCTTGTTACCGTACGTTCTGGGGGGGATACTTTTGTTATTTTCCACGTTTCTGCCCCTCCCCGAGCTCGGCTTGCCCTTGGTGTCGGACTGCCGTGGGGAGAAAGCGATTGACCCTAAGCCTGAGGTATCATTCAGGTGACCAGGACGAAATCTGAAATGGGAGCATCGTAAATCCGATAGTGGACCCGAAGGGCTGGCTAAAGGTCACTGAAGGGGGCGCGGGTCGGACCCCCAAATACCAGCCAGAGGGTCAGTTGCACCCACTGGGCCCCGGTCTGGGCCTGGGGGCCAATTTCCCAAGCAGAGTCAAGCAACAAGGTCAGGATCTGCGATTTACATTGGTCGGTGCACCCCGCGCCAGTGAGGGGCCCTTGTGTCGGCCAGGGGCACACAGCGCCTAACGGGAGGTCCAGTGTTGACAAGGGCCCCCGAGTTGGTCAGGGAGTGTACGAGGGTGCCTGAAAAGGGACCGATGTACCATTCAAGACTGACAATAAACGGGCCGATGGGAAGGCTAAATGGCCGTAAGGGTCGAAAGGCTACAGGTCATCCTGGCCCGTATGGCTGTGGTCCCAAATATCAGCCAATATGCCTCTTTCGCCGATTGTGAACCCCTGGGACAGTGCGAGCACCTATTTCCGCCGGAGACCACTATACCGAATAGTTGACTCTGCGTTGTTCTGAGGCCTGGGGCCCCCGTTTCTCTAGCAGGAACGAGACCAAGGCCAGTGATTTGCATTGGTTGGAGTCCCTACAACAATGAGTGGTCTTTCAGTCAGGCCCCCAGAGTGTCCAACAGGGGGTCCTGTGACGGAAGGAGTCTTGAGTCGGCCAGGGTTTACCCGGGGCCCTTACGGGACCCTTCACCCTGTTTTAACCAAGGGCCTGTGGACCAAACATGGGTCCCTGTGGCAGTTATTGGATCACCTGCGGTTATCAGAGATCTTGTTGCCCCAATGAGGGATCTTGCGCCTATTCCGGGTCAAATGCCCCGGTCAGATGAGCCGCCAAAAGGCCTTCCGCTCCAGGGAGGGCACCAATGTAGGACGTACACCTGTCAGGGCTTCCAGACGAACCCATCAGGCGAACCCGCCTCCATGTCGCCAGAATGGCAGCTGGTAGACACCTCAGGCTGGGACGGAATGATCTTTAAGCAATGCCCGGAAGGGTCGTGCGCACCTAACCTTTCACTAATGTTTACACATGTTATACATTAAATCACACATGATGTTTACGAATTACACATTTTCAATTCATGTTTACACCAGTTGCTGGCCTCATTTAGATTTACGGTGAACCTTCACAGGATCCCCAATACTTCTGTAGGGTGTGGACTCCCTCCCCCTGGAGGGACGGTAGTCATCTTTATCTTTAGTTCTCCCTCCGGCATAAAAACCTGCGCTGCTGTCCGGTAAGAAAATCCCCAACTAGAATTCATCCCGCTTAGCGAGTTGGCATCATCACGCCACACCAATAGGCCATGAAGCCACTCACTTAACAGCGGCCGTCGTCGAGATTCGAACCCGGGCGAGACCAGCATGCCAATCATCGATCCACTGGAGATGCGCGCCCGGCGACCGAAAATTTGTGATCAGAATAGGACTGGCTCAGAATGAGTTGATGGATTTTGTAATCGTCTGATGCCTAGTATCAAGCATAGAGCCGACTTTTTGCACGGGATTCTGCATATTTGCAGCTTGCTTCCCCTAAGGCTGGCAATCCGCGTATACTTGATACGCACAACCATCTGAAAGATTTTTGAGGGTGTTTAAGTCCGGTGCGCAGCCACTCTCCATTTTGGAGGGTGTATAAGCCCGGTGCATAACCACCCTCTGTTTTGGGAGCGCGTATACGCGCAGCCATTATTTTAAGGAATGTTGGCAAATTATCGAATAATCTGGAATGTGCGCGCCGTTGGAATGGGCCTCATGGCCCATTCCAGTAAGTGCACAGCAGCAGTGCAAGAAATCGTAGCAAAAATCGCAAAATTTCAAATTATGGTGGTCCATGGGCTTTTGTTGGAGAAAATTCCGACCACAAGCGTGCATAAATAGTTAACATGGGTTGAAAACCCCTATAGATTGACATTCGTTTAATCTGGTCGGAATGACATAGGACGACACTCGCTCAATCTATCCAGTGGTTCGTGGTTCTTTTCTCAACCCTTGGGAATCTATGTTCGATGTTTTAGAAGCTCAGCTTCAGACGTCTTAAACTGCAAAAAACTACTGAGCCCTTCAGCTGCAGGGGTCCTCGCCACCTTCAGAGGACCGTTATAGCATAAATTCAACGTTGCTTTTTGTTACGCGACTAAATCTAGCAGCACCATTGTTTCTTTGAGAGCATGATGGGGTGTTGCTGTCGCACGGGCATCAACACAACAAGATGCCATAAAGAGCGAATGCGGCAAACATATCGAAAAAATGGAAAAAATATTTCTGTCAGCGGAATGTAAGAGCATGGAATAGGGTAAATTACCGATCGATTATTCTAAGACAAGTTTTACTTGACTACCTGCATGATCACGTGGTTTTTGAACGTCCGAGCTCAGCTTATAGATGCGATAGCTGTCGTTAGCAATTTTATGTTGCAGGGTACGTAATTTAAATAAAAGGTAGTTAGGGAAATGTTAATACACGCCATGGTTTAACTGTTACGTGGGAGCGGGATGGATTCAGAAGATGTGTTTCAATGACGTCATTTGCACAGTTGAGCAGAAATCTGTGCTCAGTCCAGTAAAGCTTTTACAAATTTAGCGCAGCGCCGACAATTCCACGGCGCAACTTACCTCGTTTTGTATTTGGCTGCTGAGTTACATACGTTTTTTTTTTTGCTTTGAGGGGATAGGGCCGTGGTCGCTGCTAAGCACGGCTGGTTAGGAGTGATGGAGGACGATGCTCCTGTGATTTATGGTCTTGAGTTTCAGGTATTGAAAATTCCATCATTGTGTTTTGCGATAAGGTTTAAGTATCCCATTTATGCACTCGTAGAAATATGCATTGCAATGATGCTATTTCAGTTGTGTCTGAACTGGTGAAATGCCAATTTTCTGTGGTTATTTGCTCACATGTATTAGCAGCTGCACTCCCAAATTGCTTATCAATATTTTACACATCATGCATACTTAGATGTAAACAATGAATCACTTGTTTTCAACAAATTGCACATTACTCACTTAACTGGAAGGTGTGAAAACAAACAACATATTGTCCATAACCTGGCTGCTTCAAAGCTGGATTGATGTGAAGTCAGTCTTCCAAAACTGTATGTTGCAATTTATTTTTCAGACATTGCAATAACATTGTAACAATAATTCCAGTACATGTGCATCATATATCTGAGAGCTGGGAGCTTGGTGCACATGCATGACCAATTTAAGTATGTAGAGAGCCTATGTTTCAAAGAATTGTGATGTTTAAAGGGTCATTTGGGACAAAAATGCTTTAGAAATTGTTGACTTGATAACAATTTGACAATTCTATACCATTTGGTGTGGCCTCAGTTTACTAACTGCAAGCACCTGGTTCACTGCATCAGTGATGTATTGTCATTCAGTACAGTGGATGGATGTTCCTATTTGGGACCTGAAGTATGGCATGTGTGGCAGCTGGGAAGTGCATGACAGGAATCTGCCAGTTTTTTTTTGCATTTTATGTTGTGTTTTTCAAATTTTATTTTATGTGGAGGGATGCATACCTTAGTTTAAAATGAATAACAGGCACCTTTGGTCATCCATATATTTTTTAAGCATTATGATATATTGACATTTTCTGTAGCATGTTCGGCCATTTAAACATGTTTTACAGAGGCTGCCAGCATTTAATTTCAAGGAAAATGCATATCCTCAATGAGAGGCTGTCAGGACATTACATTAAGGATACATGTTCCCAATAGCATACACATAAATTTCTGCCATCCAAAGGTATAACCTCATTTGGCTGTGTTGTGTTTTGTATCATCTGATTCATCTACTCATGCTGAATTTAGTGATTAAAACCATTAGTTCAAATTTTCACAAGCTTTTAGCCCATTCTTTTAGCTAAAAGCCTATGCAAATTTGAACTTTTGGCTGGAATATCTGAATTCAGCATGAGATGACAAATCAGATGACATAAAAAATGTGAAATGGCCTGAGATTGATGTATGGGGTTTTACCTTTGAACAACAGAGTTAGCAACTTTTAGCAAAGGTGATGTGTTGTTACATCTTATCACCTTGAAGACTAAAAGGACTAAGTTGTGCTTTTTTGGAAAGTTCATTGAAAGGTAATTGCTTTAGAGGTGCTGTTTTTAGGAGTGTGTTTCTGCCAACAGTCCAGAGCATTGGCTGCTGTGCAAGGAGGCACAGATGATGTCATGTTCATGGTGGGAACCCAGTCACTGAAGTATGACAACCAGATTCATCTGCTCCAGCTGGATGAAGACACAGGAGCCCTCAATAAACAGGTGACTCATGCTTAACATCTGCCAATGCATGTAGTGATGAAAAACCTTCATGAGCTTAATGAATAAATGGAACCTCTCTCTCCCTCTAAAAATCATATTGTCTCTCCTTCATCACACTCTCTCCCTTTCACCTACCATCACACCACAGGTGGTGTGTGACACCAGGTGCAACTGGTGTATGTTTTCCTGTTTAGCCCACTTCTGTGTGCTACCAGTGCAAATAGCTCATGGTGTGACCAGTCTGTGTCCTGTCATTCACTCTGCTCACCTCTGCCAGTGAAGTGCAATATCTGGTGTGACCATCTTCCCATCCTGGGCAGATCTTCCCTCACCCTGCTGGTGAGGTATGGTACCTGGTGTGACCATTGCCTGTCTTCCCATCCTGGGCAGATCTTCCCTCACCCTGCTGGCGAGGTATGGCACCTGGTGTGACCATTGCTGTCTTCCCATCCTGGGCAGATCTTCCCTCACCCTGCTGGCGAGGTATGGCACCTGGTGTGACCATTGCCTGTCTTCCCATCCTGGGCAGATCTTCCCTCACCCTGCTGGTGAGGTATGGTACCTGGTGTGACCATTGCCTGTCTTCCCATCCTGGGCAGATCTTCCCTCACCCTGCTGGCGAGGTATGGCACCTGGCCTGCTCGCCAGCCGACAGCCGGCTGTTCAGCTCGTGTTTCGGCCGACTGGAGGAGGGCTCCTCCCGGCTCGGTGGCGCCATCTGGTCCCTGCCGGCCGAGGACGACGGCGGCTCGGCGTCGGCCGCCCTCACCCGCCTGGTGGACCTCAAGGCACAGGTGGGTGGTGCACATCAAAATGGCTACTTCAGGGCAGGCCTCCGCACGTTACTTGAGCTATTCGCTTATTGTGTAGAACAGTCTTAACCTGTTTTGCATGCAGAGTGCTTACGCACAGCCTGTTTGACGCAGCATCTGTGCGCAGATCGGCGGAGAGCCATCGCCAGTCCCTGCTGTAGTAGTGTTTCGGTGCTGTTGCAGGACATTAGCAGTGTGCAATGGCAGCTGGTGGACGGCAGCCAGGCAGTGGGCGTGGGCGAGCGGCAGCTGACCGTCTGGGACCTGGACACCGGCCGCGGCTCAGCGGCGGTCAGTGCCCGGTGTGCCGTCGGTGACCTCCTCAGTGACCTCCTCATTGACCTCTGATCTCTTCAGCCCGCACCAGACGGCCACTGGTGCGGTGAAGCGGGTGCCGCGTTTGTCGGTCTTTTTTGCTGTGCGTGGTTGTCAGTCAGACGAGTCCGCGTAGTGGTCGGAGAGCTGTACGCCTCTTTCCTGGTTCCGTCTTTAGATGCTGGAAAAGCAGTGCAAACGTTAAAAGGAACAAAGATGGACAACTTTGGTGTTATCCTGTTTACTTTCCGACATTATATTTTTACTTCCTATAGTGGCAGTGGGCAGTTAGCCCATGCACCCTTTTGTAGGTCGACACCGAACACCGGTGGTGAAGACGCGTTTTCGTGTCACGCCATTTTCGCGGTCTTCTTTGCCTTGATTTTCGCGTTTTTGATTTCCTTGTGCGCCATTATTCGGTGGACGCGTGGTCGAGGCCTGACAGAGTCGCCGTCCGTGACGTCAGGTGTCTGCCGAGATCACGTGCCCGGGCCGCGTCCAGTCTCTGCTCGCCTGCGCCCGCTGGAACCCGCACCAGTGCTGCAGCCAGCTGGCGGCCGCGTGCGACGCGCACGTGCGGGGCTTCGACTTGCGCTCCGGCCAGCTGGCCTGGGCCGTCGAAAACGCCGACGCGCAGCTGGTCAGGTGGGCCTCCGCCAGACACCGCCGAGCCGCGCGACAGCACGAGTGTGATGACTGGAACAGGGGCGGGGAAGGGGGGGGGCACTCGGCCAGACACCGCCGGGCCGCGCGACAGCACGAGTGTGATGACTGGAACAGGGGCGGGGAAGGGGGGCACTCGGTCAGACACCGCCGGGCCGCGCGACAGCACGAGTGTGATGACTGGAACAGGGGCAGGGAAGGGGGGGCACTCGGTCAGACACCGCCGGGCCGCGCGACAGCACGAGTGTGGTGACTGGAACAGGGGCGGGGAAGGGGGGCACTCCGCCAGACACCGCCGAGCCGCGCGACAGCACGAGTGTGATGGCTGGAACACGGGCGGGGAAGGGGGCAATCCGTCAGACACCGCCGAACTACGCGACAGTAAGCTTGAAGGCTGAAACAGGGGCGGGGGGGGGGGGGGGGGGCACTCCTCCCGATACCGCTGAGCCGCGCGGCAGGGCAAGTGTGATGACTGGAACACGGGCGGAGGCGGGAGGGGACTCCGAGGCTTGGGTGAGAGCGCTTGTTCTGAAGGTGCGTTCGCAGACACCACCACAGGCGCAGGTGTGGCATGTTTAGTTGCGCAAAGTTTGGGGACGTTCCTCCGCCCCCGCCCCCATCCCCCCCCCCCCTACACATACTGTGACACAACGCATGGTCATTGTGACCTCTCCGTGAATTGTCAAGATGACGCCGGTGACATATATCCCGCATTACAGTAGATTGGGAGTCGGACTCGAGTGTTGCGATGCGATGCTTGAATCACTGTAAATGCCGATGTCCTTGGTGGAGTTTCCTGGAGGACGGTATGTACCACGGAGTTTGGAGTGCGAACCTTGTCCCGCTTGCGCTCGGGTGTCGCTGACCGGTGCGGGGGAAGCGTCTGTCTATGCATAAAAGACGCGGCACTACATGCCATGGACTGGGAGCTTGAGGGCGCTGCGTACCTGGTCCGCGTGATGATTTGAGACCTGCCCGCCGTGTCATCGCCTTCTATCGCCACGCGTACAGAGACATGGACTTCAACCCGAACAAGCAGTACTACTTGGCCACCTGCGGGGACGATTGTCGGGTGAAGTTCTGGGACATCCGGAAGCCGACGGAGCCGCTCCAGGTCATTGCTGATCACTCCCATTGGTGAGTGGACGGCGGCAGGGAGCGGGAGCGCACAACGTGCGCCCCTTCAGAACTGGGTGTGCATTGTGGTGTTTGAGTTGCCCGCTATTCATTGGTATTTCTGAGCGTTCGGTGCCGCTAAAGCTCAGTAAGCATCAGGAGCATGTGAGAACCGATGGGGCACCTTACAGGGCAAGTTTAGGAGTCAGCTGCACTGCACCTGGACAGCCTTAGCGGCTCCCACTGGCACGTGCGGCGGCGTCCGGACAGCCCTAGCAGCTCCCACTGGCGCGTGCGGCCGTGTCCGGACAGCCCTAGCAGCTCCCACTGGCGCGTGCGGCCGTGTCCGGACAGCCCTAGGGGCTCCCACTGGCACGTGCGGCCGTGTCCGCACAGCCCTAGCAGCTCCAACTGGCACGTGCGGCCAGCCGGACAAGCCGGTGAATTGCGGCGCTGCTGAATCGTGCGTCATTTATGTATACTGCTGAACCGCTGCCCAGCCTATCGAACCATACCCGCACACTATCGCACATCTGTTCCCCAACGCATCACGAAACATCCTCCCGCAAATCACTCGGGTGCAATACTGGCCTCTGTAGAACGACCGGGTGCACCTGCTGGTAAGAACAAACGTAGCACCAGTGCACTGACTCCGTCTGCCGTGCCGCAGGGTGTGGACGGTGCGCTTCAACCACTTCCACGATCAGCTGGTGCTGACGTCATCGAGCGACTGGCGCGTGCTGCTGACGTCAGCCGCCTCGCTGAGCTCCGAGCCGTTCGGCCACCTGCTGGAGGAGGACGAGGACGAGCCCTCCCAGAGCAGGTAAAATGATGGGGACGAGTGGGTGGGACGAGGTCCCCACGGCGGGTGGGAGGTCCCCCCTGTCCCCTGCGGCCTCCCTCCCCCTCGAGAGGACGAGCATGTGTTGTTCTGCGGCAAGTAAGAGGACGGGGACGAGTTCTCCCGTGCCGGTCCGAGGACTGGACCACTGGTGAGGAGCGAGGAGTGCCACTCCTCTCGCGGTGGGTGGAAGGACGCGGGCCTTCGGTGCGGGCAGGCGAGATGAAGCCCTCCCGTGGTGGCTAAGACCCGCCGTGGGCGCTGGACGGTTGGCCTCCCTAGGCGAGCGAGGAGACAGGGCCTGGTCATACACAGAGATGGTGCCGGGGTGCGGCATTTGTCCGTACGCCAGCGAACCGGCTATATCACGATGGTCACGAGTCATGATATGTCGTTTATTGTCACGCACATGATGCCTGTGCCGAGCTGTGCGTCATGGCGCCGGCCGTGTCGGCTTACCGCGTTGACCGTCGTCCCGCCCAGTGAAGAACCCTCCGTATGTCACAGCTGCCCCGCGGCCGACCCCGTGTGCCCAACCCACACCGTCTTTCCCTGCCCTGACGCGGACTGTCCGCTCCCACCGGGCCCGGCCCCGACCTATGGCCGCGGTCTGCTCTGATGACCGCCCTCACACAGAGCCCGCCTGGAGGACGGCCAGCTGTGCCGCTGCGAGGAGCACGAGGACTCGGTGTACGCGGCCGAGTGGTCTTCGGCCGACCCGTGGACGTTCGCCTCGCTCAGCTACGACGGCCGACTGGTGGTCAGCCGCGTGCCGCGCCAGGTCAAGTACAAGATCCTGCTGTGATGCCGCTGGTGCCGCGCCGGCCGCCGAGCGCGCGCCGCTGGCGGCGCTGGCAGCGGCGATAGGAGGACAGTGCGCGGAGGTGGCACGCGCGTGGTTCGAAGGTGTGCCTGGTGATCGAAGCGCTTGTGTTTTTTTGTGTGGAACTAATCTTGCTTTGTTTTCAATGTGGAGTGCACCGTGCACATTAGATGTTGGCGACATGAATGCTAATTTTGTGTTCATTGTTAGCAGGTGTTGAGACATTCTTATAAACGAAATTGCTCACTATTGTAAGGTTCCTTCATGACGGCTCTTATGTGCTGATGTGTTGTCTAAGTGCTGGCCGTTGTCATTCCAGGGTATCATAATAATCACTGGCATATCAGTACCGAGTTTGAAGTGCAGCTTCCATGTCAACACTTCAGCGTGCCCCGACTAATGCAATCCACAGTTGTACTCTTCCCTGGATATGTATTTTGTCTGTCATTCGCTGGAGGCATGTTCCGCCGGCTTCCCTGGACGCGGAACGCCTGGAGTCCACCGAGCCCGGGTGGGACGGGTCCCCGCGGACACTCGGCGTTTTCTGATGTCGAGAGTGCCGCTGCAGACCCCGCCGCCGGTGGCCTCCAATGAGGGCTTCCGAGACGATCCGGCGTCAGGCCGCAGCCTCGCGCTCCTCAGAAGGCCTGCTTTGGTAGAGCATGACACAGCCAGACCCTGGACCAGAGCCTGGACCGTTTGTACTCAGAGCTGGCTCGCGGAGTGAGGCAGCGAATGGGGCGACATTGGGAATTGGCGAAACAGCGACAACGTGATGCAATATCTTGCGCAGACGGTGGCATATGGAGCCTTGACAAGGTCGGGCCCGTGCTCCCGGGAACAATGTGAACGAGCATGAGCGATGCAGCTTTTCCGGCCAGGGAGACGGATGATTGTTGGAGATATTATTTTCTGGTGTGATTGTCTATTGGCTGGTGTGAGTTGTCATCTGGTCGATATAAGCAATCAAGACACTCAAGACACTCAAGACTACTGGTGCCCTCCCTGCTCTATGTTCAAATAGGAAGTACCCTAGGCGTAGTTTGGAGGGCCCCGAACGGCCGAGTATGCTCAAGCAGGTTAACAGATAAGGCCCCGACAGGAAGGCCATAAGCACACAGCAGAGGATTGGACGGGCCTTAGATCAATGTAGAGGGCCCATGGGCATACCGCGAGTGTATCAGTACATGGACCGAGATCAACGTGATGGGTCCCTGAGCAACCGAGAATACCCCGGCAGTTTAACGTATGGGGGCCCGGTTATAGCGTATAAAGCTTTCCGAGGGAATGGGAATAATCGTGGAGGACACCTGATTGACAAGAGTATCCGGCTCGCGAGCAGGGAGGGCACCAGTAAAAGCGCAGGGCCCCCGGAGGAAATGCAAATAAATCAAGGGCAATGTAAAAGGCTCCTGAACAATTGGATTGACTCTGCAAGTGGATATTTAGGGCCCCTGGAAACAGCGTAGGGTCTCTGGACAGCGTAAGGAGCCTTAAAAACTCCCAATCACCATCCTCCCAATCGGCGAAGAATTGTTTTTGTATACTGGTAAGCCCTTCTCTTTTGCTTGTGGCTGTTCTTGGCCGTCTGGAAGTTCAAAGACGTCCAATTTGTTGCGTTTTGTGTTTTTTTTTTTTTAAAAAACTATTTGGCCGGCTATGGGCCCCTTCGGAACCTATGGTCCGATTCAGGACCCAGGTGGGGCCATGGCCCTGTGCATCCCTCTTCTGGACTCGCCCCCCTGCTAGAAAGCCCTAATCAGATGACATAACAGAACCCCTCTGACTGATATTTCAAGTCACGGCTATACGGGTGGGGGACCTGGTCCGAGTCTAATCGGGCCCTTGATCTTTGGTCTCGAGGAACCCTTCGAGCCCCTCCTTGAATCTCCGCAAACACGGCCCTTTGCCGGCAGAGAGGGCCGTCTGTCTAACAATTTAAGTGTCCGATCCTATGGGCCGGGCCCCTGAATAGACCTTCGGCTAGCCTTTCAGGCACTCAAATCGGCCCTTAATTGGAAGTCCCGCGGGTTTCGAAGGACCCCTCCGATCCTTATAGGGGGAGGGGGGGGGGGGGCATATGCTCACTGTGCTCCCTGCCTGCACCACTGGACTGAGGTCCACAACCATTGCTATATTGCGCGAAATGCTGGTACTACCTGACCATAAGTTAATCCATGGATAAAAATGAGCTTCAAAATAGAGGCCTGCCTGACTGGCCGGAATGTTGACGCTTCCCACTATAAGCACTCACTAGCTACCTGCCTCCCTACCGTTGATCCATACTGCTCCGGTTGTGGTGGTCCCCACGTTGAACTGTGGACCACATTTATACGCAATAGGGGTCATTTCAGCCTCAGGTTTCAATGCGAACTGAACAGTTGCTTTTGCATTTTTTGCATATTTTTTTTGCTTTTTTTGGTGCTCAAATAGGCCCGCGCAAAAACATATTTGCTCCAAAGTGGCGCAGATAGCCGTAAATGAGGGACGCCACATCACACTCTTCGACTGCTTTTCGCGCGGCGGGGCGCTGTACATTGCGGTCCAGCCGCGCTCAAGCAGCTTGAGATTTGTCTTCCCGTTTTCTGGCGCGATTTTCATGAATGATACTGTGACACGCGTCTTCAGTTCAACCTGCATTTGATCGTGCGCTGGACATCAGGAAAGCAATGGAGACCGAATCCTTCGTTCTGAAGCCGAACAGGGATCTGTTAGACCCGAATTTTGAAGGCTATAAATTAAATTTAGACAAGATTGCTATTCATTCCAAGCATGTTGAAGAAGGTTAGTGTGTGTGGTTTAATATATTCTGATGTGCTGGTTTTGGGATTGACTGACCTGCATTTACTTGATTGTCACTCATTTACAAGCCATTTTCTGGCCTGGCATGCCTGGCATGGTTTGTTAGTCTTGATTGTTACCCCTGCCTCACATTGCTTGAATTGCTTGACCCTAGCTGGTTGCCAACTTGCAATTTTGAATCACGCAGCTGCACACAGTAAACTTTTATGTTGGGGACAGTGATGATATAGTGGTTAGGGGTTTGACTCTGGACCTGTAGGCATTGGGTTGAGGCTGCTGTCACGCCATCAATGCATGCTACATGACACACTAATGAATGTGTCTGTCCCAAAATAGCCTTGTTGAACATTGATGTGTAAAGCCCCAATGATTTTTCCTAGATTTGTCATGTTGGTTAAAAGTTAGCAATTTTAACAAGTAAGCTATATACATATATATATATATATATATATATATATATATATATGTGTGTGTGTGTGTGTGTATATATATATATATATATATAATCATAGCTGGTTTTATTATTTTCAGGGGTTCTACAAGCTCCGGAATCCTCCAGCAATTATTCCTACCAGCAAGTGCGGCTATATGCTCTCCACAACCATTTGTGGCCAGACCCATGGGCCCCTGACCAGAGCTTCTACTTCTCTGCAACTGGAAGTGTTTGTCAGGTTGGGATAGGGCCAGTAAGTATCAAAGGATCTGTGAAGGACAATTGTGTCCCATTTTGCACTGCTGTACAAATAATCAATTTTCAGTAGTATGTGATTTATTTGATCTGGTGTTGATAGAGCAGCTCTGGAATCCCACAGATCATTGGCCAGTGCAGTTAGGATATGTAAACAAAGCAAATGTAAACAAAGCTGTGGCCATGGTCTAAGATGTTAATGAACCCAGGGCTACAATGTCATTGTCAGTGTTTTACTTTATGGCTAACTCCATGAATATAAGTTTCATCAGTCTCCCTTCATTTCAAATCCCTGTGTTGTCATGTGTTTGCCATCTGCGGACCACTATCCAATGTTTTTTCTTCACTGGTCCCATGCTGCCAACACATTGTTTCCATGGGCCAATCTGCAGCAATGCAGACAGCTTAGAATATGTGCTTTCACTTGGGCTTGGGCTTGTGGGCTTGGTGCTTATGGGCTCAGTACTTTCTCATAGTCTCCTGTCTGATAGTCTCCCTGATAGATAGTCTGATGGTCTGATAGTGTTTCCTCATTTGCAAGAGCTTCCACTTCTCATGATATAGTTTCCCAGCTCCCACCCACCTCTGCCCTGTCTGCCCTCATGGCAGAGGCCAGCTGGATCAGCAGCAGCACCAGGTATCATGTCCCAGACTCCTGTCCTGTCTTGTCCCCCCTCATCAGCAGCAGTGTCAGGCTCCACACAGCACCATCTTGTAAGACCCACCCACCATCAGCATGTCAGCCCCACCACCAACAGCTCCCATCTGTACCTGACAGCATGCGCGACTGCCGCCAGGCGCTGCCGGCGGCGGTGCGCTCCGTGCCGGTGCTGCAGCTGCCCGCCAGCGAGTCGCCGCGCCCGGAGCCGACGCACCCATCGTTGAGCTTCGCCTCCGACCGGCTGGCGCTCGTGTCGGACGGCCGGGGCCGGCTCCACCTGGTGGACACCGGTGACCGCGCCCTGTCCCAGCCCTGGCAGGTACGCCGGCCGACCCAGCCCCGCCGCCGGGGCCTCGTGGCTGGGGTTTGCCTGTGACATGTCACAGGACTGCTGGTATGTTGCATGACCGCTATTGTCGTTTTGTCACTGTGCGCGGTGGACAGTGTGTGATGCTTTGGGACTATTGCTATTATTTGAGGCTCTCTAGGTGAAAATGATGCAACAAAAGGCTGACAGGTTGTTAGCAGTAGCTGCTAGTCCGGTAACGGACGAGCCGATGGCGACACACTTCTGTGGCTTCTGACAGCCAATGCTCCTCTTCTGGGCATGGTCAAATAAGCGAATACCCCTCCTCTGCAGCATGGTCAAATAAGCCAATGCTCCCCTTCTGCAGCATGGTCAAACAGCAGAACAAAATATAGGCAAAAAACCTCCTCTTCGTTCGTAGTAGGTTGTTTTTTTGCCGGCCACAACGGAAGCGCTACATCCGGCATCAGCGTAGAACTCCGACCTTACCGACACCGGCATGTGTCCAGCATCACTGGTCAGCATAATTCGGCGTTGCCATCTTCAGCCGGGCCTCTCGGGTCGCAGTCCCGACTGCCGTCGCCCCTTCCCTGACCCCGGCGTCTCGGGTCGCCGTCCCGACTACCAAAGCATCTTCCCTCAGCCGGGCCTCTCGGGTCGCAGTCCCGACTGCCGTCGCCCCTTCCCTGACCCCGGCGTCTCGGGTCGCAGTCTCGATTGCCCAGGCCCCTTCCCTGACGCCGGCGTCTCGTTGACAGATCCAGTTCAGCGACTCGCTGCTGGAGGGCCGTGGCTTCGTGCTGCAGCACTCGGTGCTGGACGCGGCCGGCCGACTCCACGTGCTGGCCGGTCACGTGGCCGAGGGTAGCGCCGTGCCCGAGTGGCGGGAGCAACACAGCGACGACGGCGCGTTCGTCAACCTGCTCACCTGGTTCACGTTCGTTAAGGGTGGGTGCCGGGCGGCGGCATCGGACGAGGGCGTGCACGGTTGCTGTGCTGGGTGAGAGTGTGAGTGAGTGAGTGTGCATCGTGCACTGTTTCGTGTGGCTGGGTGAGGGCGAGGCTCAGTATGTGGAGCTGGATAAAAGTTAAATATCCACAGCGATAGGTGCTGGAATGTGTTTGAGAAAGTGGCTGATTGAATGCATCAATGGTCCTCACTTGCTGTCTAGCACCAAGGAGTGTGTAATTGGCTAAGTTAGTGAGTAAATGGCACAGTATCCGTAAGAATAGCTGTGACATGTATGAGGCATACTTGCATCAGCCACTCCATTACGAGTGGGCTCGGTGCGCACCCGCGCTTTCATCTCCTCGCTGTCTGAGCGTGGCATCAGACCTGACCCGACACCTCGCTCCTAATGTCCATGTCCAGCGCGCACGCTCCCGCCACCCTGCCCACCTCTACCGCAGCCTCCGGCCCGCAGGTGGCGCCGCCTGGCGGCTGGAGCGGCTGCGTCAGGCGGCCACTGCCAGCACCGTCCACTACGCGGCGCTGGACGCGGCGGGCCAGGCGCTGTGTGTGGCCGCGGACCGGCCGGCCGCCTTCATACGCGACACGGAGCGGCCGGTGGCGCCGGCGCCGGCCCCGACCCCGGCCGAAGCCGCAGGTAAGGGCAGGCCTGTCGTCAGGGGTCGGGGGTCGCGTCTGGTGCCGGTCCTCCTTTGGTGAGGTCGGACTCTGCAGGTGGAGACCCTCCCTTGGTGAGGTCAGACTGCGGGTGGAGACCTCCCTTGGTGAGGTCAGACTGCGGGTGGAGACCTCCCTTGGTGAGGTCAGACTGCGGGTGGAGACCTTCCTTGGTGAGGTCAGACTGCGGGTGGAGACCTCCCTTGGTGAGGCCAGGCCCCGCAGGGTAAAGGCCTCCCTTGGTGAGGCCAGGCTTGGTGCCGAAGACCTCCCTTGGTGAGGTCAGGCTCCGCAGGTGAAGACCTCCTCTGAAGAGGTCAGGCTCCGCAGGTGGAGACCTCCCTTGGTGAGGTCAGACTGCGGGTGGAGATCTCCCTTGGCGAGGTCCAGCTCCACAGGTGAAGACCTCCTCTGGTGAGGTCAGGCTCCGCAGGTAAAGGCCTCCCTTGATGTGGTCAGGCTCCACATGTGGAGAGGGAGTGCTTGGAGAGGTTGGTTAAATGTTGTTCGTGCATTCAGTTGAGGCGAGGTGGTCATACCTGTGTCACCGTTCGTCAGGTGAGGATCTGCTGATCCGATGATGGGCTGTTTTTGGATGAAGATGTGGTATCGGGAAAAATTTGAACTAACCATGGGTGATAGCACTATCCACATGGATGATTTTTGTATGCATAAGAACGACCAGCTGGATCGCTTCAGGCTTCCCTGTTCCGAACGCTGAACGTTCCCCTCGGTTCTGAAGGTCGCACGCGAATCTCGGCTCTGAACACAGCACTGTATCCCAGCCTGTGGTCATACCCGCCGTGTGCCACCAGCGCCGCCGTCAGCACCGCTCTACGTGTGGAGCCAGACGGCTGATGACGTCACGGTGCAGCTGTCGGCCGGCGCTGGCGGCGGCGGCGGCGGCGACGGTGAGACGGTGCGGGTGGTGCTGGAGCCGCACGTGCTGACGGTGACGGCCGGAGGCACCACCCTGCTGCGGGGCACCCTGGCCGCCGCCATCCGGCTGGACGAGAGCACCTGGACCAACGACGACGGCAGGTGACGTCCGTGGTGATGACGGGGATGACGGCAGGGCAGCAGGCGTGACGGTGCGTGTTATAGCGCACAGCAGCTCGTCACAATGTACTCTGCGGGACGGTGGCCTGTGGCAGGCTCGAGGCCGACGCTCGTGGTAACTGGACCCTGCCATGCTCGCAATGACCACCCACAGGGCTTTGCTGCGGCGAATGCTGACCTTATGTCCGCGAAGGATGGCAGTGAGCGGGTCTTCCATTGTCCTCTATAACGCCAATTGTTATTCCCAGCACGGCATCTGTTGACAGGTTTTCCGTCCCAGTCCGATGTTTTGGATCACCCCCCCCCCCCCCCCCGCCCCCTGACACTGTTCGGGAGACGAAGGTTGGTTTCTGCAGCAATCCAGGGCCGATGGCCATACGGATGCCATCGGTGATACGACCGCTGGTCCCAAGATGCTTTCCATGTGAAGAACAAAGCGAACACTGAACATCCTCTTCCAGTGGTCACTACCGCGAACACCCTGACACTGACAACGGCCTACGACCGCCGCCGCCAGCACCGCCCGTGGCCCGTCCTGCTCCCCGACCACTGACGCCGGCACCGCCGCGCGCCGTCCCGCTCCCCCCGACCACTGACGCCAGCACCGCCCGCGGCCCATTCAGCCCCCCCCCCCCCCCTCCCCCGCTGACCGCCGACGCCAGCACCACCCGCGGCCCCTCCCAGTTCCCCGACCGCCGACGCCAGCGCCGCCCGTGGCCCGTCCCGCTCCCCGACGCCCGACGGCCAGCGACGCCCGCGGCCCATCCCGCTTCCCCGACCGCCGACGCCAGCAACCGCCCGCGGCCCGTCCCGCTTCCACCGACCACTGACGCCAGCGGACGCCCGCGGCCCGTCCCGCTCCCCCGACCGCTGACGCCAGCGACGCCCGCGGCCCGTCCCGCTCCCCGACCGCTGACGCAGCGACGCCCGCGGCCGTCCACCACCGGTCTGCCCGTGACCGCGCTTCTCACCTCCGCCAGACTGGAGGTGGTGCTGGCCAAGGTGGAGCGGGGTCAGGTGTGGCCGGAGCTGCTGCCGGGCGACGGCCGCGGCGAGCAGATAGTCGACCCCGAGCTGGCAGGCGAAATGGCGCAGCGGCTGGCCCATCTCACCTCCGACGCCGAGGTGAGGGCGGGACAGTGACGGTCGCGCAGCTCCGTGCCGTCCGGGTGCTTAGCGGTTTCGATCCAGCAGTATGGAAGCAGTTGGATTTTAGCCTGGCGTGAAGACACTGGATACGGTGGCGACGGAATCGCCCCCTGCCGTACTATGGTGCGATGTTGTGAAGGTGGTCTGTCGGTAGGTATGATGTGATGGGCTATTGCACTGGTAAAATTTGTATGTGCTGGCGAAAAATTGGGTTTTGACTGAGATGCTACGAATGCGGAGTATGGGCGTCGCGGACATAGTTCGCAGGGTGTGGATGTATGTGTAAGCTGTCAGGCATTCCCAGACTGACATTCCGCCCGTGCCGACATTCCGCCCGTGCCGACATTCCGCCTGCGCTGACACACCATCCGTGCCGACCCCCGCCCAGGCTGGCATCTCGCCCGCGCCAACACCCCGCCTGTGCTGACACCCCATCCGTGCCGACACCCCGCCCAGGCAGTCATCTCCCCCGTGCCGGCCCCCGCCCGTGTCGACCCCCGCCTATGCCGACCCCCGTCGCCTGGTCGACAGAACCCCAAGCCGGACGCGGCCGACGCCTACAACGTGGCGGAACTGGAGGACTGCGACGACTTCCCGGAGGCGAGCGCCGCCCTGCTGCGGCTGGATGGCGACACGCACGCCCCCACTCATCAGGTGCGAGCGGCACCGGCTGCGGCCGGCGCCAGCTGTCGCTCGCCGGGGCCCGCCGTCGGCGATGACGCCCTCCAGCCGGGACGGGGATGTAGCAGTTCCGCTTTGAAGTCTTGGCAGAACGTGGGGAGTGGGAGGCAATGCAGTCATTTGCAAGAAGTCAGGACCACCTCGAGTGATTCCACAGTTCTGTTGTGCCCAACAGACGGCGGGGTACGCAGCTTGATCACGAACGCGCAGTGTGTTACGAGAAACCGTGATGGCTGTGATCGGTCCCAGAGCGGCGGCTCACGTGTTGCCAATCGAAACGCGTTAGTGCATGCACCTCTACCCACCGGGTCTGAACATGGCACGGGATCTGCTCCCGACCTGATAACCCACGAGCTCCCCGCGCCCGCAGACCAGCCTGGACAGTCACCAGTACGTGCTGACGGCCCGGCTGGCGGCCGCCGAGCCCCCCGGCGCTCTGCGTGCGACACGACGTGGACGCCTGCTCTGGCAGCCTCGCTCCGGGACGGACGGTCAGTGGCGGCGCCTGCTCTGGCAGCCTCGCTGCCCGGGACGGACGGTCAGTGGCGGCGCCCTGCTCTGGCAGCCTCGCGCCAGGGCGGGACGGTCAGTGGCGGCGCCCTGCTCTGGCAGCCTCGCGCCCGGACGGACGGTCAGTGGCGGCGCCCTGCTCTGGCAGCCTCGCGCCATGGCGGGACGGTCAGTGGCGGCGCCCTGCTCTGGCAGCCGCGCGCCCGGACGGACGGTCATGGGCGGCGCACCTGCGCTGGCAGCCCCGTGCCAGGGCTGGACGGTCAGGTGGCGGCGCCGCGCCGCGCGGGCGGGCCGCTGTCCGGGGAGGGGGGGGGGGGGGGGGGGAGGGCGCGGTGGCTGGCCACACGTTACATGTGTAGGCTCATCGGTCGGTCCACGTTCTTACGTGGTGTAAGTCTAGCTACATGCCACCGAGTCTGCCGTTGTGCCCGCCTGCCATGCCATGCAGATATTATTTTGTTCACCGTGTGCATGGCGTTATTGAACTTTGATGCAGTCCGGGCATTTGCCGTTTACACAGCGTATGCTTGTGGACAGATAAGCACGACGAGTTCCCTATCGGGTTCCCTTGCTGTGCATTGGACCGATACCTTGTTTAAATATGATCGGCAGATGGCATTGTGACCACGTCGGCACGCTGAACGGCCTTCGGATACGTGCAGGCCTCCAAACAGCAGCGCAAGTTCCTCACGTGCGCCCCAGGTCAGTGCGCTTTGCGGGGGACGTGGTGTAGCTGGTGCTGTACACAACGCGTGCGTGTGTGTGTGCCCAGCTTATGCATTTAGTGTAGACTTGCATAGGCCTAAGGGAAGGCCTTAATGTCCGGGTGTCCGGGTTTGCTGTCGGACACACTCGGCAGTTTTTTTGGAATATGTTTCTGCTGGACGCGTCCACGTCGAGCGAATAGTTGTCTTGTGCCATGCGTGCGGATGACCGTTGGATGGCTTTTCAGACATGTCATACGCGGTGATCTGCGAGACGTCCCGTCACGTGTACATCTACCACCAACCGTCGCCCGTCTGCGGAGAACTGCGCAATCGCCGGTCAGGGCAGCGAATTACCGAGGTGAGCAACGCATGTAACTTCGGTTTTGATTCTCACCGATAGGTGGCTCTGTCTCGGTGTTGCGCGTTTGTACTCACCATGGGCCCGTTTATTTTGAGTTCGATAGCGAGAGACATGGTCTCCATCTGTCAGTCAGTCTGAAGCGTACCGGGGCTTGTCTGACATTGACAGTTGTTCGAAAGTCAACTGGCTCCAGCTGAGGGCTCAGTCCCTGTGTGACAGCCGGCTGTGTGGTCTGTCACTTGACGTCCGGTGTGTTTGACCCCCATGTGAGCATAGTTTGACCTCAGTACGACCGGCCTCAGCTCACTGTCACATGACGGCCACCTGAGGGATGAGCCGGTCCGTGACACGTGTCCGCGACGGTACTCTGACCCACCACCGCCCGCCCCAGTGTTCGCGCCAGCAGGTGGTCAGTCTGGAGGACTCGGACCCCATCCTGGGCGTGGCCGCCGCCGCCCGCTTCCCTTCCTGCTGGTGTGACCGCCAGCCGCCTGCACGCGCTGGTGCTGAGCTGAGCTGAGCTGACCGTGAGCGGGCGCTGCTGCTGTGAGGCTGACCCGAGCGCCGGCGCCGAACGGGGCGTGCTACGACCAGGGCGCCGGTGCCGAGCCGGTGCTGGGCTACGCTGATGATGCTGGGCCGAGTGTCGGTGCCGGGCTCGGCTCTGCGGGGGCCGGCCGGGGATGTGTCCGGCGCGTGCAGCGGCCGGCCGCCTCGACCCCGCCTCTGATGGGACGGGCTGGCTGTGTTTTGCGGGGACCGCAGGCGGATGTGGGCTGCTTTGTGTGTCAGAAATGCACCGCAGTCTGGATCGTGGTCGTGTTATGTGGGAGGCGCCACCGGAGCGCGGTGGGACACTGCAGATGGGCGCCAGGCCAATGTGGTGAGAAGCAGCGCCGTTTCAGACAGAAAGACGCCTCCACGGCGGAGCGATGTACAAGCAGCTCGCGGCTAAGAAACACCGCGTGCTTCTACGTCTCTTGCAATACACGGTCAGGCGCGCCATTCCGCAGGCACCGCGAGAACCCGCACACATACAGACCGCACGGACGCGTGGGGCCAAAGGTCAGCCGGGGACGTGACCTGCCTGTTACCGGTGACGGAAACCTGCCACCGGCGATGTGCCCTGTTACCGGCGACGGACGTTACCGGTGACGGGACCTACCACCAGCGATGGGCCCCTGTTATCGGCGACGGGACGCCGGCGTATTCGTGGGGGGGGGGACCTTGCCGGCGACGCGGCCTGTTACCGGCGACGGGACCTGCCACCGGCGATGGACCCTGTTACCGGCGACGGACCTGCCACCGGCGATGGGCCTGTTGCCGGCGACGGGACCTGCCACCGGCGATGGGCCCTGTTACCGGTGACGGGACCTGCCACCGGCTGGGCCCTGTTGCCGGCGACGCGGCCTGTTACCGGTGACGGGGACTGTTACCGGTGACGGGACCTGCCACCGGCGATGGGCCCTGTTACCGGCGACGCGGCCTGTTACCGGCGACGGGGACTGTACCGGTGACGGGACCTGCCACGGCGATGGGCCTGCTACCGGCGGCGGGGACTGTTACCAGCGACGGGCCTTATTACCGGCGACGGGGCCTGCTGCCGGCGACGGGACCGCGTCAGCCGATACAGAAGCCGCGCCTGTTTTTGCCGCCCCCTCCAGCCGCAAGAAGCAGAGGCCTGCGCTGCTGCCGGCGGCCACCGTGCCGCGGCAAAAAGGCGCCGACATTGCCGCAGAGACATCGATATCGGCGCGAGGTCGCCGCGCCGGCTTCGTTTTCGCGTCGATGGAGCGGCCGCAGTATGTGCCGTGCCCGTGACCGCGGCGGCGCCCGCGCTGCCGGCTCCGGCGGCGGTCCAGTGGGTCGGCGGCCCTGACGTGGGAGGGCGCGCGGCTCCGTGTGAATCATCCCGAACCGATACGGGGGTCCGTGTCGACCGAATCGGACGCGGTAGTTGCGTTCGATTCTGGGTTGCCTGTGGAAGGCATTAGTTTGGCGTGCGACTGGAGGGTAATTAGGGCTTCGTGTCCGGTGGCATTGTCGGAGTGGCGTGTCATGGTGTAGTCCTGGCTCGGCGGCCCGCTCTGCAGTTGGGTGTGTAACTTAATACATGTAGCTTATCGCTTCGTTCATGAAACGCCTTCAACCTTGTCATTTGATGAGGTGCAACCGCAAATTAACGGTGCGTAAATGAGCATTGTAGATAGTTGGCATACCCTAGCATTGCCAGGATATGTCATCTCGGGGGGCAGAGAAGTGCAGCACGACGATAGAAGCTCAGCAGAGACGAGCTGCATACAGCGAAGGACAAAAATCAAAGTCATGCAGGGAATAAGCTCGTAATACGACACACGCACGTAAACCCCGGTCTTGGTGCGCGTGGTAATCACAGTCGAGTTCGAAAAACGCATGTGGGTGCGATACTAGGGACGTCAATCACTAGATCGGAGTGCCCAGATCCCTAGATACACATGCTTTAAATCCCGGGATGCACACGTTTTTAGTCCCGGGATGCACACGTTTATAATCCCGGATGTCCATGTTTTTCACCCCAGGATTCCGGTTTCCAAAAAGTGTGTACTTGCAAGTCGTGTCGAATTCATATGAAAGCACCCTCTGTTTATCTTTGTCTTGAGAACACCGTGTGAGAAGGCCTCCTAGGTAACCACGTATGCGGACAGGCTTACTTAGTGAAGGAAGAGGACAGCTGTGCTTCTTGCCAGGCTGACTTATTGCCGTACCTACTTCAAAGATTTGGATTGGAGGCCATCTTGCCCCTCGCAGCTCCAGCTACAAGCATCTGTTGAAGCTGAGGGCGCAGCCTCGAGCAAACTCAAACCTAAAAACTTAAACTTAGGAAGGGACGCAGTGGGACTGACCGGAAGAGGCCGGTGGCCAAGCGGCTTGGAAGCACTGTTCACCTCCGAGCTTCGCATCATCACGCGTCATTATCCACACCCTTTCAAAAACACCCTTGGCTGCCATGTGATAGCTCGAACCATCTATCTGCGTTGTCCTTTTCCCACCACACAGCCACTGCGCGTAGAGCTGCAGGCTCGGTGTGCGGACCTTGCCCGCTGTCAGGTGGAAGGGCTGGGACTTCAGGCGGCGATCTGACCTCTCACGGGCCTCATCACTGCCAGCGGTCACCTGATGTAAGTCTGCTCAGCCAGGGCCGGCCGTAGTCGGGGGGGGGGGGGGGGGGGGGGGGGGCGCGGGTTCACCTACAGCTGGGTTCAGTCGCGCCAGGCCAAATGTTTTGCAGGGGGGGGGGGGGTGGGGGGAGGGGAAGGGTGGTTGTCATGTTTTCTTCAAAATCCCGTGAATTCTCGCAAAGTTCCTGCGAAAATTTCCCGGTACTTAGAGAAGACCTTTTGGCCCAGGTAGGGGGACACGGCCCGCTTAGCGTCCCTGACTCACCCACACACAAACTTTTAAGAGAATTTGTTCGACACACATGCATAACAGCGGGCTGCTTCGCGAATGCACGTCAAATCTCCTTATAAAAGGTGTCGATGATGCCAAACATGTCAGAGGTTGAAAGTACACTTTCTTTAGGACACCTTGACAGTCATTCGGGCTCCCGCAAACGCACCAATCGACGCCCGGCGCTGAGTAAGGGCTACCCAAAACACAGCTGGCTCGGCCAGAATGTTACCATGACCCATACCATACCGAAAGAAAGGTTGAAAATAGCTTGCTGCAATAGTATCAGTTATCACGATCTTTTCCTAAAAAATTTTCCTGAGAATAATAATGTTCATTATCAAAACGACTCGAGGACTTCTAAACGTCATTAGCAGAAAACGCCGCTTAAATCACGTCACAAATCAACGTTTGTGTGTTGAGCCATCTGCATAAGCCATCTGCAAATGTTCGGGATGTACGGATGTGCAGCGGTTCTATTATACTGAGGTCCGTGTTGTATTGCTTTACTTGGAGCTGGCGTTTTGCTGCAGCATGGTACGTTGGCGTTTAGCTTTCCTACGTGTTCCCGCGTTGTTACAAACCCTATCCGAAAGCGTGTGTCCCCCAGGCTCTCATTAAACCGGTCTCGAACGCCACCGGAGAAAAACCTGCAAAATAAGCATGAAGCTTACGAAAAGAAGACATGAATAACAAACACCATTCAAGCACAGCGCAGAAACGGCTGTTTGTTACGCCTTGCCTACGTTCCTAAAATAGAGCCTTGTCTTAGTAGAGTGAAAAGCCTGCCCCTGACATAGTTCCTCACGTAATACCGTCTTCACCACGGCTGTATCAATGCTCTTTGAGGAGGGTGTATTTTTGTAAATGGTTGGGAGGGCTCAATAACCTAACCTCTCTGAAATGTATGCTTTTAAACGGATTCAGTTTAACACCCTCGTCAAGTGCAGTCGTTTCAACTTCTTTCATTTCGCGTTGTATCGCGTTTATTCGTTGTTTGGCCCACTTTGGTTTGAAAAGCGACAGTTTAGTTTTGGAACTGTCGATTCGAAATTCCTTAATTTGAGAAACACAGCAGCTATGGCCAGCTAGCAATATGAGAAGAACGTAAGCATTGTGTGCTGGTCAATTTTTTCCCGCGCCT